TACCCCAAGGAAAATGTCTTGGGGGCCAAGCTGGTCTCTGCAGTGGATGCTGTGCTGTTCTACTAAGGGGAAACATGCTTGGTTGTTTCTTTATAGCTTTGGATAGGCTTGAAATATGAAGCAAATCATTCCTGCTTTTTCAATGTAACTTGCTTCATTTTGGAGTCCGACTGAGGTGAGCAAAGGCAAGCTCACCAGCCAGGCAAGGGGACAGGGATCTGAGATTTTGTAGCGAATCTGACCAAGCACAAATAAAAGCTTACAAACCTGTTTGTGGCAATGGTGGCAAGCAAGAGGCAATTACGCAGAGGCAAAAACAACTTACACGTTCCTGTGACTTTATTGGATTTCTTCAGCATATAGGAATTGATAGCACTTTTCAGTTGATTCAACAACACTTACATGTCACCTCAGATTCTAGGAACCACGAGTTTCAGTCCAGGGTTGCTCAAAAGAACTGCCCACTTGGTGCATGTTCCTGGATGCACATTTGTAGAAGCATCCAGAGCCTTCAAGCCAAACTACAGGCTGCACGGTGTAGATTGGCCTCTTCCATCTCACTGCTTGGAATCAGATGGTTGGAAACTGTTTTCTCAAGTCACAGGTTGCTACCAGTAATATTCCTGGAAGTTCAAAAAGTTCCTGAGTTGCTCATTAAAGCCAAGAGTTCTGCAATGTTCTCCAGTGTATTGCCAGCCAAAGTTGGAAACATTAACAACTATATAGGGTGCCTGAACAGAGCTGCCACCGAGCCTACAGAGCATTAATGTTCTGCTTAAACCTTTATTTGAGGTTCTGCTTAGATCATCTGCTGGCTTTCTGTAATTGGATGAATTGTATCATAGGAGCAATTGTAAGCCATAAAAGCACATAGCTACGAAATCTCTCAAGTCTCTTGCCATTTTCTTTGAACATAACATGAACGCTACTGAGAACCGCAAAGGTTAATCCATTACAACAAGGCAATTAGATTTAGTGACTGTTTGGAAGATAAAAGCAGTGAGTCATAATCAATCCAGAGAAACCCAGACATGATAAATGTCTACAATTTCCTCTTACTTCATCGAGTTGAGTATGACAAAGCATGTTAGGGTAGAATTATTATAGTTTTGTGTCAGAAATGTAGGAGAATTTTTACTTTTATTAAACAAGTTACTTGTGAAAAAGTAATCTGCCTCCAGATGGTTTCTGAAATTCACTCTCAAAATTTGACAGACACTATGTGGTAAGACACTTGGTTTTACCAAGGGGTTGTGATGCAAACACATTTTATCTATAGTCCAAGCTGTATGAAATGTTGTTCTGGAATTAAATTCTTGAACTATCAGGCATGTGAAAATGCTTCTCCATGGCTCTGCACTATGGTGCTAGAGACCATACTTTAAAGTTACAATCCTATACATTTGTACGTGGGAGTCAGTCCCATTGAACTCAATGGGGCTTACTTCTAAGTAGGCATGCATAGAAAGTATGAGCTCCTTGTGGAGTCTCCTTGTACATAAGTCTGCTGGAGCCCCCAACGTGCAGACATGAAATGGTGGCACATCTGCAGTTGCCACAACAAAAATGAGACAAAGCAGTAGCCACAGGAGATCCCAGAGGTCTTGCAAGAGGCCTGGAGCATATGAAATTTCTTGTGCTGTATATGAACTGGGCAGAGAAGCAGCCAGGGAAGATTACCTCAAATCCTGCCACAAGGCCAGTGCTAGGCTTAGAGAAGAGGAATCATAGAATCATAGAATCATAGAGTTGGAAGAGACCACAAGGGCCATCGAGTCCAACCCCCTGTCAAGCAGGAAACACCATCAGAGCACTCCTGACATATGGTTGTCAAGCCTCTGCTTAAAGACCTCCAAAGAAGGAGACTCCACCACACTCCTTGGCAGCAAATTCCACTGTCGAACAGCTCTTACTGTCAGGAGAAGGATTTTGATGTACTATCATCCCTTTACAAATATATTAGGGGCTATAGGTGGGAAGTGCCTTGAGATGAAGAAGGTGAAAGCAAATTATGACAAAGCTACAAAAGCACTGTTTGCTGATGTCATAAATGGCATATAATCTCATGCCAGTGCCCATATCTGTGGCAATATGAGCTGCTCATTTCAGGTCGCAAATTCATTTGCTTCACTTATATCCTTCAATTTATTTATGTTTCTCATATAGAAAGATATGGTGGCCCATCCCGTTTTGTCACCCGAGGCAAAACAGGAATGTGCCGCCCTCTGCCCCTGCTTTCCCTGTGCGCAGCTGCTGGAACATGCCCCATCTCACCTGGCCAAGCACAAGCGTTTGGCGAAATGCCTTGCTTGGTGCCTGCCACCGTCAGAAGTGCAGCTGGCAATGTCTTGGGACAGGACCTGCCCAGCCGTGGCACGGAGGTTGTAGAAACCCCTCCCCTCGTGACTTCATCCAGCCTCTGCTATGGGCTGTTCACTGAGCCTGCTTTGTTTTATTAGGGCTTTGGACTTGACTGATTTACTCTCCTGGCTCCCTATTTGATTTTGTATAGGGAATAGATTGTTGGTGTGCTTATTTTTCTGCTGCTTGGGTTGTTTTTATTCTACTTTACTGTCATGGCATTGTATTTCTTACTTATATTTTAACTTTTGTGTTATACTTTGAAGGCCCACAGACAGAGAAGAGGCCTAGAAATATTAATATAAATAAATATAATGTACATATGGTGTGATTCAACTTTCAACCATCTGGATGAGTTCAGTTCATCTTAACCAGCCAGCGGATGACAGCTGAAACCACTAGATAGATAGATAGATAGATAGATAGATAGATAGATAGAGGCAGGATTGCTGTATGGTGGAGAGACTGAAGTTAGAGGAGATGGCAGAGTGGAAATGAATGGTCTGAAAATTAAAGAGGAAGTCGGGGGCAGACAGGTGTGTAACGAATCTGAGAGGATGGATTTGGAGGCATAACTCATGTTTATTTGGTGATATAAATTAATGTTAGAGAAATTTAGAGGTTATTTGAGGAAAACAGTTTTGCTTCCTTGCTGTGAAATCCTTGTACTGCTGGAGCAGAAAATGGTGAATTAAAAGGAGTATCTTTGTTTATTGGGAATAAAATCTCACTTTTGGCTTGTTCTCAGGTGAGTTTCTTGTCTCTAAGGGTCACTGGTTTGCCTTCTGTGAAATAGGTGCAGTAGTAAATTTTCAATACACCCATTTAGTGACAATGCTCAATGCACTTTCTCAAAATTCCCTGGGCTGGAAACAGAATGTCCTAGTGTAGTTGGAAATAAAACAGTTGACTAGGCCCATAGTACAAGAAAGGGGGCTAATATGTTCAAAAGATATTCAGGCTGCCACCTGCTGTTGACATGGGGAAAGGGAGAAGAGAGGCTCTCCACTATTGCGGAAAATAATTGAAGAGACCGAGTGGAAACTGGAAAGAGAAAAAGCAAAAAAAAAAGACTGAAGGGGGATTTGTAGGGTTCTGATAATCTACAGATTAAGTTAATGACATAAAAGCAAACTTACTGTAATAAATCATTATAATCATTAGTTTCTTGTGGACAGCACAGTCTTTTAAAAGTACAAAATGGGGGGGGGACCTATAATAAAAGAAAAACAAACAATGGGCAATTGTCTTGGTGACATCTAAAAGAAACAATTGACAGGCTAGCATATTCTAAAAGCAATTTGATATTAAATGGATAACGTGCCTGTTACACTGAAGTTAAGGCTATAGTTCTAGAAGGACTGCAAACCTTCCTACATCTTTTATGGTAACGACAAAACAACTGGCAAGCTCATCTGCATGAAAACTTTTGCCACAATAAAACTCTCTGTGTTTACTTACTGCTTTTTTAATGGAATCTGATAACATCAGAGGAAGACAGGCACACATATGAAGTTTTGCAAGAATATATATGAATAAGCTCCTGTGAATAAATATGTAATTTCAATGTATTTTCTGTAATCCCACTACATTAACCACCTAATTTCAAATTATGCATGTTACAAGTTTCTGAGGAAAGGATTAAAAATTGAAACAGCAACATTATTAGTTCCTCTATGTTTCATTTGATACACATTTCACTGGAGCCAATTCCCTTCATTCCACAATTGTTAAATGTTTCCATACTTTCAAAAATATCTGAGGTATGCTAAGAGCAGTCTTTTTGTAATGCATGCAAACTCACTTTCTCCTTTAAAAGCTATTGGAAGTTCTCATTTGGAAAAAGAATACTATGCTGTTATAGATTGTTTCTCAAATAGAAAGCAGCAGAGGAGGCAGGTGAGAAAATGTGCTGGGCTGCATACTGGGAGCCGGAGGGGCGGACCGTTGCATAAAGGGTGCTTTTCTAGGGTTCACCGCCAAAGGCAAGCTTTCACTTCTGAAGGATAGAGTAGCTCTTGTGCTCCTTCCTTCCTGGCACTTCAGTTTTCACATTGTGCTTGTATTGAACATGCCCCTGTTGCCATGACTTGCTGGGGGCAATGACTATAATCTTCTCTTGACATGTTGATGTTTTTTAGCACCTCAAATATATTTTGAGCTGTGGAATTCATGCTTGGCCACATGTTTGGGTTGACAACGTATTAACCCTTGCTAAGGCAATACTTCTCTATGCAGTTAGCTTTCATACCAAACAAAATTCTGCAGTAATTGGATGCCCCACTTGAACAAAACTGTTTACAAGGAATAAGTCATTCCTGGCACCAAGAAAGTGCAAGACCCACTTCAGCTCTTCATTTCTCATAAAAGTAGCCCCAAACATGTGTCTTCTATTCTCATAAAACTATGACTTGTGCTTTCAGCCGTGGTTGCTTCATATCTGCATCCTGTCATTATCATGCTTACCAAAATACATAGTTGTGTTTGGCTGCAATACACATCTGCAGCCTGGAAGTCTAAAACTTTCGCATAACTTTAAGATGCTTTGGCCTCAAACAAGCTGGGATCTGGATGAACACACAATGCCAAAACTCATTTTGATGACCTCACTACATGAATTTGAGGTCTTTGGAAGGGGGGGGGGAATAGCTCAGGAGAAGAGCATCTGCTCTGCATGCAGAACGTCCCAGGCTCAATCCCTGACATCTCTGGGGAAAGGAGGGAAAGACTTCTGTCAATAGCAAGAAAAGAACTATGGAATACTATTTCAATATTTCAGCTTTACCTGCAGCAATTGCATGTTGATTGCCCTCTTAGAAGACAAAGTCCAGCAACTGGAGGAACGTGTAGCTACGCTCCAAAGAATTAGAGAGCTGGAGCTCTTCTTGGAAGCAACAGAGCACACCGTCTCCACCAAGGAGGAGACAGGGGACTCCCCTGAGAAGGAGGCTAGTTCACCAACACAGGAGCCAGATATATGGAGAAATGTGACTCAAAGAAGTAGGAGGCCCAGGGTTCACTCTGATTGTTTAGAAATACACAATGGCTTTGAGGTCCTCTCCCCTAGCATGGAAGACGAAGAGCAGACTCCATTTGAGGATCTCTCCCTCATTACAGTCGATCAGGTATATGAAGACGAGCAGCAAAGTCAGTCCTCAGGGAATGTGCAGACGACCTTGGAACGGACAGCTCACGGAAGAACACCGACCAGACCTAAGAGGAGGCATGTAGTGGTGATAGGGGATTCCCTACTGAGGGGAACAGAAGCAGTGATCTGTGGGCCTGACAAGATGTCTCGGGAAGTATGCTGTCTCCCCGGGGCTAAGATCCAAGATGTACCTGAACGACTGCAAGGAATCATAAAACCCACTGACAAATACAGCAAACTAAATATGACATAATAGGCATCACTGAAACCTGGTGGGATAAGTCCCACGATTGGAATATAATAATGGAGGGATACAATCTATTTCAGAGAAACAGACCAGACAAGAAAGGAGGAGGAGTGGCGTTATATGTCAGGGATGTGTATACCTGTGAAGAGATCCAAGATTTAGAACCTCAAAGCCAAAGTGAGAGCATTTGGGTCAAAATTAAGGGAGAGAAGAATAACAGTGACCTCATTATGGGAGTTTACTATAGATCCCCAAGCCAAACGGAGGACATAGATGATGCCTTCCTGGAACAGATGGCCAAGCATGCAAAAGGAAGGGAGATAGTAGTAATGGGGGACTTCGATTACCCGGATATTTGTTGGATGTCAAACTCAGCCAAGAGCATAAGGTCAAACAGATTCCTCACTGGCCTTGCAGACAACTTCATTGTCCAGAAAGTGGGAGAAGCAACAAGAGGAACAGCCATTTTAGATCTGGTCCTAACCAATGTTGATGACCTGGTTAGTGGGGTATCTAGTGGAAGGATCATTAGGCGCGAGTGATCATGCTCTTCTGAAGTTTACTATACAGCGGAAAGGAGCAGCCAAGCATACCAGGACTCAATTTCTTGACTTTAAGAAAGCCGACTTCATAAAACTTAGGGAAGTGCTGGGTGAGATCCCATGGACAGTAATACTAAAAGGAAAGGGAGTTCATGATGGCTGGGAGTTTGTTAAGAGGGAGATAGTAAAAGCACAACGTCAGGCAATACCAATGAGACGGAAACATGGAAGGTGCCTAAAGAAGCCAGGGTGGCTATCGAAAGAACTTTTAACTGAGTTAAGATTACAAAAGGATGTGTACAAAAATAGGAAAAGGGGGGGAAACCACCAAAGAGGAATTCAAACAAATAGCCAGCACGTGTAGACACAAAGTCAGAAAAGCTAAAGCACAGAATGAACTCAGGCTTGCTAGAGAGGTTAAAAGCAACAAAAAAGGCTTTTATGGGTATGTTCGTAGCAAAAGGAAGAACAAAGAAACAGTGGGGTCACTCAGAAGAGAAGATGGTGAAATGCAAACAGCGGACACAGAAAGGGCCGAACTCCTCAATGCCTTCTTTGCCTCAGTCTTCTCCGATAAAGAAAACAATGCCCGACCTGAAGAATTTGGAGCAAATGATTCAGCAGAGGAAACACAGCCCAGAATAACTGAGGAGATAGTACAAGAATACTTGGCTAGTCTAGATGTATTCAAGTCTCCAGGGCCAGATGAACTGCATCCAAGAGTATTAAAAGAACTGGCAGATGTGATCTCAGAACCACTGGCAGTCATCTTTGAGAATTCCTGGAGAACAGGCGAAGTCCCGGCAGACTGGAGGAGGGCAAATGTTGTCCCTATTTTCAAAAAGGGAAAAGAGAGGACCCAAATAATTACCGCCCAGTCAGTCTGACATCAATACCAGGGAAGATTCTGGAGCAGATCATTAAGCAAACCGTCTGTGAGCACCTAGAAAGGAATGCTGTGATCACCAATAGTCAGCATGGATTTCTGAAAAATAAGTCATGTCAGACTAACTAATTTTGTTTTTTGACAAAATTACAAGCCTGGTAGATGAAGGGAACGCAGTGGATGTAGCCTACCTTGATTTCAGCAAGGCATTTGACAAGGTGCCCCATGATATTCTTGTAAAGAAGCTGGTAAAATGCGGTCTTGACTATGCTACCACTCAGTGGATTTGTAACTGGCTTACTGATTGAACCCAAAGGGTGCTCATCAATGGTTCCTCTTCATCCTGGAGAAGAGTGACTAGTGGGGTGCCACAGGGTTCTGTCTTGGGCCCGGTCTTATTCAACATCTTTATCAACGACTTGGATGATGGACTCAAGGGCATCCTGATCAAATTTGCAGATGACACCAAACTGGGAGGGGTGGCTAACACCCCAGAGGACAGGATCACACTTCAAAACGACCTTGACAGATTAGAGAACTGGGCCAAAACAAACAAGATGAATTTTAACAGGGAGAAATCTAAAGTATTGCACTTGGGCAAAAAAAATGAGAGGCACAAATACAAGATGGATGACACCTGGCTTGAGAGCAGTACATGTGAAAAGGATCTAGGAGTCTTGGTTGACCACAGACTTGACATGAGCCAACAGTGTGACGCGGCAGCTAAAAAAGCCAATGCAATTCTGGGCTGCATCAATAGGAGTATAGCATCTAGATCAAGGGAAGTAATAGTGCCACTGTATTCTGCTCTGGTCAGACCTCACCTGGAGTACTGTGTCCAGTTCTGGGCACCACAGTTCAAGAAGGACACTGACAAACTGGAACGGGTCCAGAGGAGGGCAACCAAAATGGTCAAAGGCCTGGAAACGATGCCTTATGAGGAACGGCTAAGGGAGCTGGGCATGTTTAGCCTGGAGAAGAGGAGGTTAAGGGGTGATATGATAGCCATGTTCCAATATATAAAAGGATGTCACATAGAGGAGGGAGAAAGGTTGTTTTCTGCTGCTCCAGAGAAGCGGACACGGAGCAATGGATCCAAACTACAAGAAAGAAGATTCCACCTAAACATTAGGAAGAACTTCCTGACAGTAAGAGCTGTTCGACAGTGGAATTTGCTGCCAAGGAGTGTGGTGGAGTCTCCTTCTTTGGAGGTCTTTAAGCAGAGGCTTGACAACCATATGTCAGGAGTGCTCTGACGGTGTTTCCTGCTTGGCAGGGGGTTGGACTCGATGGCCCTTGTGGTCTCTTCCAACTCTATGATTCTATGATTCTATTCTATGATTCTATGAGTCTATATGATCATAGCATAGAGACTATTATATGGACAAAGGTGAGAAGACTTATTATTGTTTAATATGGAGGCATGGTTGTTGAAATTATTGGAGGCAAAATAGATATGTTTGATTGGAGAAAAACCATTGCTGACTAATTAATAGTAATAATAATAATAATAATAATAATAATAATAATAATAATAGAAGAACCCGTTCTGGACTTTCTGTTCGAAAAGGAAAATGAATGAATTTCAGACATTTGGGTTTGAAGATTGGAAAAATGCTACTTTATGGAAAGCGGAATAGGATGTCATCCAGGAGTGAATGTTTTAAATAATTTCTTTTATGTAACATACAGACAAAAAAATTGGAAGTCCTTTTTATTTCTCTTTTTCTTTTTTCTTCTTCCCTTCCCTTCCCTTCCCTTTTTTATTTTCTTTCTTCTCTCTCTCTCTCTTCCCCCCTTCCCCCCCTTCTGTTTTCCTTTGGTGTCCTCTGCTCTGAGCCCAAGGATTACACACACAAGAAGTTGGTGGATGGTTGGTGGAAGGACCCTGATAATTTGGAACCTGGTTACAAGGATTTTATTTACTGTCAAGGCAGCAGATCAGTCCTGAAGAGCAAATGTAGTTTATTGGGCAGCTTCTCTAAATTACTCTGGGCACATACAGGTATCTGTTTAAGAGCATGTGTGCAGTTCATGAACATTTATTCCATAATGAATTTGTCAGGGTGCCAACCAATGGTGTCAATCCATTTGCACAATAGATTTCCCCTTGCTCTCCACCCCCATGCAGACCTCTATGCACCCCCAAAATCTGCTATGAAGGATTGGGGACCCCGCTGGAAATTTATCGATTTCTCAGATATCATTGCTACAAGTACAAATAAAACCAGGCATAAGTTAGGTCCTCTTTGTCACCACCTGCTCTTACATACCTATACGTGTGCTACCTGTAGTTAGATATATGATGTTCTAAATACTAAATGTGTACCATCAAACCCAAAATGTAGTCATGAATAAAAATGACCCTGGCCACTTTTGCAGCTCCCATGAGATCTTCCCTGAGGGAATAAAGCCCGTGATATAAAAACAGGGTCATCAAACCAGTGGCTTCATTCCATGTAAGACAGTTTCCCACATTATAATAACTTTACAGTGAATACATAGTGAACAAATAACCAGAAAATATTTAGGAAAAAAATATATAATTTAAAAATAAAGAGCCATATTTTCTTTACACCCACAAAAGGCCAGTATAAATATTGGCACATCCAATTTTGTGGTATGTCTCTTGCTAATCTTCCGGTGAGGAGGTTTATCTGTTGGGTCTCCAGACAGCGCAATGAGCAAATTTAGTAAGGCATAAGGAAGTGGGTATTATTATTTGTTAACAGGCATGCTAGTCTTCAGAGTTAGAGGAACTCACTATGTTTACCGCAGTCATGTCCATTTCTCCACAGAAATGTCTTCCTTCAAACTTCATGTGGTAATATGCTCTTTCTACAACCACAAAGATATATTTTTCAGTATTGTCTAGGCCTGCACCATGTACTGTGAGACTGACTGCCAATATCCAGTTTTGAAATGTCTGTGAATCAGATTACTGTGGTGCAGCATTGTTGACAATTCGAGGCAACATCACTATGTGAAAAACAAATGTAACCGAATTCAGGTCATCTTATAAGGGGATGAGTCACCCACCCAACTTTTCTACAAGGAAAAGGCATATTTGTACATATTAGAGAAATGGATCTCTGTTCAATCAACTTCTTCTTGACGTGCAGATTCATGTTGTTTATAATTGGATATTATTCTTATTCTTATTCTTATTCTTATTCTTATTCTTATTCTTATTCTTATTCTTAAATGGCATCTTATATTTGGGATAATGTTATAAATAGGGATGGGCAAATCTGTCAATTGGTTTCTCTCAGTTTCTCATTTTTCCTGTCTTCAGTTCTTCACATTTCTACAACCATTTGCAATTTTTAAAAAACCATTAGCATTTTTATGCAGATTTCTTTTAACATGCACATTTTAAATTCTCCTTAAGATACACATTTGCAAAACACTTTCCCACACTATGAGGCATTTTCACTAATGTATGCAGTTCTATATGCATTTTTGCATACATTACTGGGCTGGAGAAGCACAATGCAAAATTCAGAAATTTTGAAAGATGGCTGTGCTTTGGTTTGTGTATGTTTCAGAAAGTGCAGATTATCTAAATTCACTTTTAAATGTGAACTGAATTGAATCTTCCCCCATTCCTAGCTGAAACCTCCCAGGGAAAATTCCTCTCAACATCTAATATCTTATGAATATCTTTTTAGCATATGGGATGGGACTATTCTTCATTTTGTAACAGCTTGTTAAACAGTTTTTATATAGGGATTTAAATCTTCCATCTTCTTTACTAACCCTTTTTTCCAAAATGAAAATGGAATCAGTACAATCTTCAATCCATCACGAGCTTGCTCACTCTTGAGCTTGTTTGGAGGTTCTAGCAGAGGAGCGCAGCTATCGTATACCCTTGACCGAAGAACGGTACACTCCTTCTATCTGGGATGGTCGTCCTCTTCCACCGAGCGCGCAGCTTTGGGAGGGACGCACATGGAGCGGTGAGGGAGGAAGGGGACACCCGCCTAGCCAGCCAGATCAGCCGAATCAACCCTGGCGATCAATGGGGTGACAGATGTCGCAGCCAGATCGCCCTCACATCCGAGCTTGCTCACTCTTACTCCTCCTCATGAAGTGGCTAAAATGGAGATTTTGGTTCCACCAAGAGTAGAGTGGCAGGTCTATTTGCAGTGACATCATTGTTCACACAGTACTGCAATATAATTGAGTAGGTCAGTGGTTATTCCAAGTTTCACCCATTCTTGAAATCCATCCTTAACCTTCCAGAATGAGTCTTTTACAGTTATATGATTCACGTATTAGGTAAAATAAACACAAAAATAATGTCAAATTAAAGCAAAACAAAATAGTGTGGAGTTAAATTCAGACTGACACTGAGCAAACAGTTCTGGCTGGTATCGTTATACCCTTTTTGAAGTCAGCACGAATAGTGAAGTATGGCTCCAATTAGTTTGAGATTGGGGGATCTTAATAGGACTGGCTCACGGAAGCCTGTACCTCACAAAAGCTGAATACCAAACATCTTCAGAATAGTGTAACCCACAGATGTACTGGAAACACTACAACATGGATTCTGAAGCAATGAAAAAATGTTTAAGAAACAAAAGTGTAAAAATTGTATTGCTATGACGGATTGGAAATGTTCAACAACCTTTTTTTTACTACTGATATACTTTTTGAAATGTATATATGAAACTTTCAGTTGCCCCAAAGAGTGAATAATCCCCCCCCCCAATGAAACAGTTCAGTAAAACTTCATGTAAGTTTATCAGCACCCCACCTCCCACAGCAGTTTTATAACATTAAATGTCCAGGGGAGAAAATGCAGGCTGAAAACATTGAATATTCACTCTAAATTTAATAGCTTTGAGCTAATGTGAAAGTAGGAAGATGTAGCCAAACCAGGTTTGAGCTTGCCAACATCAGGGACTGAGCTGGATGCTCAGAGCCAAAGAACAATCTGAGTAATTGAAGCTGTCTCCATCCAAAATGAAAAGAAATTCTAGAACTAAAGAGCCCTATTTTAATAAAAGAGTTAAGGTGCTTACTAACTCATTCCTGCACCCAAAAGCATGAAAATTGTAAGTTAAGACACCCACCTTAACTTTTGTGCCATGTAAATAGTAAATGTTCAAGAGCTTCACCTAAAACGTAGCCTCCATGCTCCCTCCCTTTGACTTTCAGTCAACCTTTTTTCTCTTCAGGTGGGGGAACCACTGAAGCTCAGGACGCTATGCGCCATGGCGCATATGTCAGAGAAAATGGCATGGGTGATGGGCTTTATATGGTGGGAATAAGGTCGATAGAATTACTTCGGCTAGAGAAGAGCTGTTTCCCCTGGGCTCACCACAGGCCACTAAAGGTAGCAGCTGTGGCATCAGGAACACCAGAGAGCTATGGAGATGCTTTAATATCACATATTCCAGTAGGATAGAAGATATAGTTCTATCTGGCTAAGGTGGAGATGCAGTTAGCTGTTCTTGCTTTTGCCTCTCAAGAGGAAGAGCTCCAAGTATATCTGCTCTCATTGGGGAAGCCTGGAGAAGGAGGAGGAAGGGGAACAGGACATGGGTCAGCAACCTGAAAATTATCAGTCTAACCTGAAGGAAGATCAACATGTCAGCAGAAGAAAGACAGTCTAGGAAATGTGGAGGTTCCTCTCTCCACCACCACCCTTCCACATGCAGATACAGCAGCTGCAATGTGAGTTGTGTTGCACTCTGACACTTCCAACATTATTTAGGTGTCTCTGATGACATATTGGTGTCTAGGACATTGTTTTGGCTGAATAGTTTGCATTTGTTGAAGCAGCAGCAATGGAGTCTTGATAGACCAGTTAGGAGAGAGGTATAATGGGTCCTTCTGAATTCAAATTAGTTTTCTTGTTCTGACTCCCCACATTCACGCAAACCTCCTGCTTCAATCACCTCCCAGCTTGCCTCTTCCACAGACCAATCGTCAGTGTCCCACCACCGCTGTCCTGGGTCGAAGTCTTCTTCCTCTGTGTCATCCCTGGGGGATTCTTGGGTGGGCGTCTCCCCCCCCCCAATCTTAGTCATCCAGCCAGTCCCTGACACCAAGCAGGCACTGAAAATCTAACTGTAGACAATTTCTTCCAAAAATTAACACCCCCCCCGAGACAGAGTTGAAAAGCCAGGGTATGTCCTCAGCCCCTCAGCATCCCGCAGACAGATGAGTGTGCGCCTCTCTGTCCCCCCCCCCCCCAGTGGTACCTCTACATCCATAGGCATGCATTCCTTCTCTCTTTCCCTGAATCAGCAGTAGAATGGAAACAATGGTCTGGAAGTTGACTGGAGAACGAGACATACAATTAGTTGGAAAATAAAAAACAGCTGGCGAAATATAATAGCTGTTATTCTGAGCACATGAACCTGAAAAGATACTGTTTATTTTATAAGACAAACAACATTTGCCTTCTGTTTGATCTCAAAGAGCATCTAGCACTGGAAGTTGTCCATACTCATTTAGTCACTTTGCTGCTGGAGCAGCCTGTGCAGAAGCTATACACACAAAGCACAACATATCGCTTTCCATGTTAATTTGACAGTAAACAGTACTAATTTGACTTTGCAGCTGTTTATTGATACCTAACTAATACAATTCAGTGCAGAGAACAGTAGCCAGTGAATTGGGACTGAACAATTGGAAATCCAAAGGAGCCCCGTTAGCCACGACCTCTCCTAAAGACGTCTGCGTGCGACACCAGGGGTTTGTGGCTTCACTTCAGCAGTGCCACAAGAAGTTGTTAAATGTTGTTTGACATCTGTAACCCGGATTTTCCTCCTATGCCTTTTAAGGATTGTTTGGCTTTTACCGTGAAAGCAAAATTCTGCTTCCAGTGTTGATGACAAAAGGGTGTCTTCCATTGAGTCAGCCTTAGACAATATAAAACCACTGCCATGTTCTCCACATGGGCAGGGAGGATAGAGGGGTGGAAAGCGGCTTGCGTTTGAGCCCTCCCTCCCTGTGGGTGCATCCTGCACTGCTCCGGTAATGTATGAAATGAAGAAATGATACAGAAAAGATGGAACAGAAGGAAAATCCTCACACCAAGCCTATTTTAGAGGATAGATGTTTAGCTGGCTTTTAAATCTATCCAAAATACTATTTAGGTCCAGCCCTACCATCATCAAAGGTGAAAGCATACCTGTGCCTCCTCCTGCCACCAATCAACATTGTGCCATAAGCAGAGAAAAATTGAAGCAATTCAATGGGCAGCAAGTGCCCCAGGGTCTCCGCCCATCACCATCCCGGTCATCAGCCTGTAGCCAGTCTGGCCTGGGGGAATTCCTACCTGATCCTAAACGCAGCAGCATCAGACTCTGAACATCTGCTGCATCTGCTTTAAGTGCAGCCTCTGAAGTCTAATCTCTGGAAAGCTGATGTACCATCACTGTAAAGAACTATTTCTGTTTATTTTGTTCCTGATCGAAAAATAACACATTCCCTGTCCTAAACACCTGATCTCTGCTCACCTCCTACTTCCCCAGCACTGAACTTAGTTCATAGCGGAAAAGGAAGCAAAATCACGGTAAAATCAGGGTAGGTTGTTGTGAATGTCTTTGTATAGGATCCCACTTCTGTTCAGTTTGGAATACAAAGCAAAGGAGGTGGATTTGACACCCGCTGAAGATGTGACTTTCTTCTCCAGTGAAACATACCTTCCAACTGCTAGGCAAAGCTACCCAATTTGGCTTCTCTTAACACACTACCATAAAATTATTTTCCACCTTTGCTGTCACAAGAGACTACCAAGTTTCTCTATATTCCTTTTTTCTACCTGTCAGCGAATCTGCGTGTTTTGCCTAAGAATGGAGGCAGGCTTGGGTTATAGTCATCCCTTCTTTTTCCAGAGATTAGTAGTTAGCTAGTATTATCCTTCTTGCTGCAGTCCATTTTAATGTCTGTTGCCTCCTTCCAAATTCATTTCCCAAACTCTCACCAGATGCAGAATCGTGGGTTTCCATTTTTAATTTTTTATTATTATAGACCAAGACTTTCCCTCTTTTTGAATTTTTTATAGTAGTAGTCATTCATTGTGTAGAACCTGTAGAATGAGCAGAGAACTAGATCTTATACAAGGGGTCACCCAGTGAGCGAAGCATAAATACAAGAAAGCAAACTATAATTTCTATACTTTCATTTTGCATTTGTTGTGCCCTTCACAAGACATGAGTGTGAGTAATAAGGAGAATGGCTTCATTTGGATACATTTAGATTCCTGAATAATATCATTAGCAATGCATCTGGGATACAAGATAGAGAATAAAAATTACAATGCTTCAATATTATGAACAGCACAGTAGTTTCGGGGTGTTTCTCCTGTTCAGTGAATTCAAAAGATGCTTTAAAATTTGGATTTATCTTGATACTTAAGATTGTTTTATTGGATAGATTTTTAGGATATTATATCCCTAAGAACAAAAGAGGATGAAAGACGTGTGGGAATCCCTTGTTGCAAATCGGTGCATAGTCCTGTATAAGACAAATAAGAATGTAGCAAATGTGATCAAAGGCCATAGAGACAGCCAGACTATGTTTACGTTCCTCCCCATATATACTGGTTACTGAAATTCGTTATATTTTTATTTCTTTCCTTAATAGTTTAGACAAATGTGTCTAGCCCTAAGATAGAGAAATGTGATATTAATCATGGATTTATCCCTTTGTGAAAGTGGTTGCCAAGTGGCATGAGCAGAGCTGTGGACACGGCAGAAAACAGCATCTGCCCCTTGGGCCCAGTGTCATTGCGCAGCCTGCTGGAGCATTGGCCAAGGCCCTGGACTGCAGGAGGTCCTGCCCCATGGAGACTGCCCTCTTGGTCTCATTCCTCTATGGGCCTTAGCCCAGCACACACATCCCCAGTGCCCTGTTGCGCCACAGAACTGTTTGGCTGGCTCAGGTGTGGGCGGAGGGGTTCTAGGCTGGCATAGCTGAGGGGCCCCAGAATCAGGCCTTTCTGCTAACTCAGTAAGAAGAGAATGCTGGATCAGGCCCATCCAGCATCCTGTTCTCACAGTGGCCAACCAGATGCCAGCAGGAAGCCTGCAAGCAGGAAATCAGCCCAGCAGCGCTTTGCCCACCGCAATTCCCGGCAACTCCCTGGTGTTCAGGGTCATCCTGCTCTGGGAGTGGCAGTGGAACAGAGCTATTGTAGCTACTAACCATCAATAGTCCTCTCCTCCTCCTCCTCCTCCTCCACGAATTTGTCGAAAACTCTTTCAAAGCCATCTAGATTAGTGGCCACCGATGCTTCCAATGGGAGGGAGGGAGGGAGTGCCCTAGTTTAGCCATGAACTGTGTGAAGAAGTCATTTCTTGTATCTATCCTGAATCTTCCAACATTCAGCCTTATTGGACGTCTACAAATTCTAGCATTAGGACAGAGGGATAAAAATGTTCCTCTATTGGCTTTCGCATAGCTATGAGTCATTCCATGAATCATTCTATGAACTTCTTTCAAAACCTTGCTTAATGTTTTATATCTCTGCACAAATGTAAATTCTTATTCGAAAGTGATAAAATAGGACGCTTGGTTGCCTCACTCAGAATGGCCGGCCCAGGAAGAGAAGTCCCCCAGGAAGTGCTGTTTTCCCTTTGAAACTCTTGTCCATGGCTGCATTGCCTTGTCGATAAACATCCTGGTAGATGCCTAACATTGGTGTTTATCGGATATTTCCACTCGTCTTCCTGGTGGAGATTTTAAGGTGGCAATTATGGCGCAGTTCATTTCTGCCTGTTCTACAATAGTGTTGATATAATTCTGCTCCAGGTCCCTCAGCATAGGCATGGAGTTCCCACCAGAAATCTGGCTGACACCCTGGCCCCGCTGACAGCTTAATAATGTGACAAAGTTCAGTCTCGTTCCGTGTCATGGGCAGGAATGCAGCTGGAGCTGCTCTGACCTGGAGCTTTCCAAACAGCACACAGTTGCCATGGAAGGCTTGACAAATAACCTTTTCTTTGCCTGCTCAAATCCATCAGCTCTAATCAGGTGCCACGTAGAGGCCACATGCCACTGTTAAAATGCTAAATTGAGTGGCATGTCCACTGAAAGCTCTGAGAGGGGACATTTAGTTTTATTATTATTGTTATTAATAATGCGGAGATTGCCTTGCCTTGCATTCCTGGGTATTTTTGCAGCACTAAATCACCTGGGTGCACATCAGCAACCCTGGTAAATCACAAAAGAGACTCAAATTTAAGACAGCTGACACTACACAAACATACTGAAAAGCTTAAGGGGGGCAGTTAGAGGACAGAGGTCATCAAAGGAAAGGGAGGAGGGGAAAGAGGGGGAATAGTCATATGAAAGTGACATGTCAGGACAGAGATGGACACAGGCTGGGGTTCTCCACAGGCTGCAGTTTGTATTTAAAGCAGCCTTCAGACTTGAATTTGGCTACTGTTGCCATTGTGTAGTTTAGTTTACCTCAAAGCCGACACACACAATGGCTGATGCCCTTAAAGCCAAGGTGACAACAAAAAGGTGCCAAGTCTGGTTTGTGTGGGAGTGTATTTGTGTGTGTGTGTGTGTGTGTGTGTGTGTGAGAGAGAGAGAGAGAGAGAGAGAGAGAGAGTGTCACAGGCAGAAATCTTCCCAAAAGGTTCAAAGTTCTGCCCTTGATCCAAGATGAGCCATGGGTATTCCTGAGGAATCACAATATGTGATTTGAAGTGGAGACTGGGTTGTCACTGTTATCCTAAATAACACACCAGTTTCAACTCAGAGTTAAAAACTGTTGTGAATTTCTCTCTCTCTCTCTCTCTCTCTCTCTCTCTCTCTCTCTCATCAAAGAAGGAAAACCCTGAACCGAAGGCAGGACAAGCCTTGAATCTGAGCCAGATGAATGAGCCAAAAGGCTACATATGGAACTAGCAAATCATAGGCTATGAAGGATGTTAATGATTTAAAGTTATGTATTTTGGAAGTCTAAATCTTAAAATGTATCCATAATGGTAAAGGTAACTAACAGAAAGACCTAACTGACAGCAAGTGGTGGAAACAGCAAGTGTGTAATATTCCCAGAAATCCTTCTCTTCCCATCCCAGCATATCCTCCTCTACTCTTCCAGAATAATTCAGTGGTTGCAACTGGCGTTGTAGCTTCAACTTTGTTTGTAAAGATGTGAACCCAAAGGCGACAAATATGAAAGCTGTTCCAGACTGACATCACGGTCATTTGTACCGCTGAAGAACGTTGTGGCTTCCAGCACCATTCATGGGGCAGATGGCGGATTAGCAGCTAAGAATGGTTGTCCGAGGAAAGGTAATTGTTAGGAGATGTCCTCCTGATTCCTCCTGGATATCTTTCTTGAGGGTATTGAAGGAGGCAGAGCTTGGGGAAGATCACACACAGCAAAGGGCAGACGACAGCTTTGTGTGTGTGAAAAAAAAAGTAGTTTGCAATAGAGACAGAGGCAGGCAGTCCAGCACCTCCCTCTGATGATCTGATACGTATCTCTTTAACTCCTCCATGTATTATCTGCTTGTGTATTTATAAATAAAGCAACAGGAGGCATGATTGGTCACATGCTGGTAACTTAGCCCTGTGTCCATGCTGCCACCTTCCTCCTCCACGGGTAGCACCACTGTCATAGGACAAATGGGTTGGAGATGAGAGAGAGGGCCTGGAGTCACCCATTGCCCATGGCATGGTGGAGAAAGGAACAGGCATGGGGAGATGGCATGCCCAAAGACTCATGCAATCCTGGAGCCAGCCCCAACTTCCATGTTCTTTCATTCAGCGGAAGCTGATTCCCTTAGCACTCTCTCTAGGACTTCTTAACACTTGGAAAAGTGATGTACATGCAACTTTCCTTCTGAATTATGCTCCCCTTTGCAGGATGACAGCTCTGCACTCTCACATGCCAAAATTAACAATGTCTTAACTCAGATGAGGACCCCGCCTCCCCTGTAAACTGGAGGAAATAAAAGCTAAATGTAGGCATGGTGACAGTAGATTCTGAAGTGTTCCATGAATAGAAGCAGTCCTGGAAGACATCCCCAGAAAATGAAAAGCCAAGGCTGCAGTCTTTTCAAACTCAGTTGCTGTAAGTATTGCACAGTGTTGAACTTGCCCACTGTGATCTCTGTTCATGAGGATGTAGGAGCAAATATTATACAGTGCCCAAAGAGAAACTGAAAGCTTAAAAGCAGTGGGGCTGCAAACCAAGTAAAGCTTCTACAAAAATTGCAATCTGAAGGAATTGCAACAAACAGGACTGGAGTTTGGCAATATTGCAGTTGGATGGTGGTCTTTTCCTTAAAGAAAGGGCTTGGGGAAAGGCTGTCCTGGCTGAATCAGGGCTTTAAAGGGATTTGGCAGATTATCTGTTTGTTGTATTTATATAATTTTAGACCCTGCTCCTTCATCTGTTAGGATTCTCAGAGCGGCCTACAGTATAAGTTTAAAACAAATATTAAAAAGAAGAGTAATAAAACATTGTGAGGACCAATTGAAGTATACAAAAGTCAGTATGGGAGAAAGGCTTGCAAAAAGTGTCAAAAAGCTTGGTGCTTGGCCAATGTCCTGGACATGCCAGAGGGCCCCTACTGGAAAGTCCCCTTCTCCAGCCTCATCTCTGAAAGTGTTGAGTGGGCTTCAGAGAAGGGTCAGATCACTGGTTCACCTCAAGTAGCTCCTGCAGAATGGTAGCCTTGTGTGAAATGGGCAGCCGCTTGGTGGCCCAGCTTCTCCATCTGCACTTTTCTGGATGTGCCCAAACAGGCCTTACCCTCCATATCTATTAGGATCTCTGAGCACCCTTAGGAGCTTTCAGTGCCAGTTGAAGACACATATGTTTGCTGAGGAATTTACTGAACTTCAATGGCTGAGCCTGTCAGGGTTTTTAGCTATGTTAGGTTATATACATTTTTACTTTCTTTGTGTTGTATTCTAATATTCATATGTACCCCACCCTGCTGCAATGACAAATGGGTAGCACAAGTTTTAAAGAAACTTAATGAAACAAATAAATATATGTGATTCCTTATGAAATAAGTTTTTCTAGGCAAAAAGGAAAGAGAAAAAAGCAGCAGCTCAGGGTGTGCCTACTCTTTGGACCATCAGTTCCTCAGAAAGGGTTATGCCTTCCTGCAAGTCTACTTTTCCGACTCACATACTAATGTCATGCTGTTCTTGTGACAATGGAGTGCACCTCTGTGGGTGAAGTCAAACCCTGACTGATGTGAATAGGCAGGACACATTCAGGAGTCTAGAAGTTGGAAAGCAGCGATAGAAGAAGTGGACTTTATTGCAAAATGTAACTTTTTGGAAGAAGTGTAGGCTCACCCTCTTGCAGCTTCCATGGCCCAGAGCATCCATTTCTCTCTCTCAAGCATCTGCTTAAGATTTCTGTGCTTATCTAAAGGGAGGTAGGACTCTGTTCTTCCCAGAACTAAGTTCCCTGCCAAGAAGTGTCATAACAGTGCTGGGCCCCTTTGATTCATCGTATGCCAAAGGGACTCCAAAGTTCCCTGGCTACTTTTTTAAAAAGCCTGCAGAAGTAGCTAGCAATTAAAGGCATGCACAAAATATGAAGGATGGATTATGCCCAGAACTTTGGTTCCAATATACTTCTGATACCGAGTTGTCATATTTTGTCTTTAAGTCAGTATGAACTATACATTGTATGCCCCTTCCTATCCCATTTGCATTTCAAGGATGGAATCAGATGACTGAAAGCCACAAGGTAGCAGCACAATATTTTACTTTGTAGTCAAATGGAACTGCACGGAGGCCATAATTAAGCCTCATGAAACCACCTCAAATTTCCAAGTGGCTGTAGAAGATTGGTAGAACTAGGATAACTCTTTCCCAGGAGGACACAGGACAAAGTCCACTAAGCAGATGGCAACTCTGGTGCTGTAATGGCAGAATGGTCTCTTTTAATAGTCTGCATGATCTAACTCCTGACTTCTTCAGTTTAGTGTACCCTTTTTAAAGATTTGCTGGTAAGAACTCCAAACTACAATCATTTTTCTTAAAGCTAGGTCAAAGTTATCTGAAAAAGCAACAGTAGTGGGCTGAAAAGAAAGCGACTGCAGGATAAAAAGGAAATAGCTTTTCAGGGAATAAGTGACTTACCGGTACTAGGAAAGTGTCTACCGTGCTGTCTTAAAAATAATAATACTTCCTTTAAGACAATTGCTTTATTACTACTCTCTAATGATTAGCAGTCAATAGGCCACTATTCCTTCCTTTGGTTACAACAGACCCTCATTTCGGAATAAACGTGCAGCCCAGCAGATGCTGCAAAATCCATTACCAGTTATGGTGAATGGAGAAACTGAGTTAAAGAAAGATGCTGTTTGTTTGTTTGTTTGTTTGTTTGTTTGAACAATGCTCCTCCTCCTCCTACAGCCATTCTTAAAATGCAGTTTCTGCAACCTCCCCCCCAAAAAGTCTTCCTCTTCATGGCCTATGAACGTTGTCACAAAAGCAGGACGGCATTTTTTACTCTGGTTTAATGAACAAGAAAGCTACATGTGACTTTAAAAAATAGCTTAAATAAAACAGTTGTTTAGTTAATACGAGAAAATAAACCCCTTTTTATTAAAATCAGCAGGTGCTATTCAAGAACAAGAGAAGTGTTATAAAATACCTCAACTTTGGAAAGTTCTGTTGTGTCTTTCAAACGTCTGTAAATATTAATACTTTTAAAATATTGTCTCCTTTTTAAATTCAAAGCTCTTCAAAAGAACAGATTTACTTACAAAGTGACAAGTCTTAATATAAAAATCTTAGTATTGTTTTATTATTGGACTATTTGCCATTGTCATACACTTACACTGAGTTCAAAAATACAAATATGTAGTATTAATTTTAAAGACAACTCTGCATCACTTAAAAATCAAAGACTTTACTGTTCTGACAAGACAGAATTGCCTAATAGGAGCAAAACCCACTTGGCATTAAACAATCTAGTTAGGCTTGTAGCTGCTTGAACTTGTATTATATCATGGGCACACAGATAAAATGAATAAATTATCGTTTCCTTATTCATATGCGTTTCCCTGAAAAGCACAGCATTGAATGTAGGTTGCAATTTCAATGTTTCACTATTTACATGCTGCTCTAAACTGAACATCTACCCACTTCTGAGGCAAGTTTCAAAGCTGCACTGTCCAATTCCTGAAGGGATGTCATATTACCACCTGGTGAAGCTATACTATTGCACCCCAGAGCTGGACTTTGGAGGCAGCAGCGCAGTGACCATCCATGCAAGGAGCTCCTGGTCAAATCAAAAGATGCCCGTCTTATTTTGTTTATCTTTATGATGCAGCAATGAAATAAATACTATCTTTTCAGACTGCATTTTGATTAATTTGAACTTCTCTTCCGAGTAGTTGAAATGTCAGCAAATTACCTTTTTGCTCAAATGTGTAGCGTACAAAAGCAGAGAACCCTATGCTTAACTGAAAGGGACATTTCTTACACCCAAATAAATACTGGGCCTACAAGAAATTATCACAGAAGCAAACATGATGGGCTTCAAGGTTCTCTTTTCTGGTTTGAATGGCATCTCTTGGGACACCTCCTCGTACAGTCCAGCTTAAAGCCGTTAAAACTATTTATCAGAGGCACACACTTTACAATAATTAAGAAATACTATAGCCACTCATCCTCTCCCCCCAGTGACAATGGGACATGAGAGACAACGGGGTCATCTCCAAAATATGCCCCCCCATTTTCTTAATTTCAAGCGAATTTAGCAAAGGGGCTGCAAAGGTGGAGTGCAGACCACCACAGGCAAAAGCAGCAATTCAGTATGTTCTAAAAATGTTTAGTAGAAGATTGTTCCTCAAGTGGGTTTTGTGCATTCAGACACAACAGGGTGTGCATTGTTGCCCCTTAATTGCTTGTGTTGGGTGTGTGCAGTGAGACAAGAGGCCAAAGGCTAAGTGCTTTAAATGTACCCGCATGAGAAAAGTGATTTGAGCAGAACAATGCCTGCTCCTGTTGTGCTTTATTGTGTTCTTATAAAATGGGATTATGCTGTTGTTATAAATAGAAAATGACTGGTGACAAAAACATCACTTCAGAGCTGCTGTTCCCACCCTGCGGTTTCTGATGTCAGGCCAATTTAGGGGCTGGGCTGCTGCAGCCGTATGGGGTCTGACTCACGGGTAGTCAGTCTGCAGTACTTTGTTTCTAAGTAAGATTTCACAATGCTCTACAGTAGCCCAAGTTGCACATGTGTTGGCAATAAGGAGGGTTGGAAATTTACCTGGGGCAGCCTGCTTGGCATCGCGCGACAGGCTACATTAGAGCTGTTCCCACAGGTGCCAAATAAAGAAAATACTCCAGTGCTTATGTGCTTAATAGGAGGGAAAATGAGGTTTCTAAATTATCTTTTTAAAAACAACAGTAATAAATGCAGACCCCTCCGAAAGCGTACTCACAATTGCCTCTGACCCTTTGTTCAAACGACTGTCAGGCGGTCTCTCTTTCTCCAGCTAGAAAACCTGTCACACAATATTTGGTATTTCTTGGGAGTTTAGTATTTATTGATTAATTATTTTCCCAAGTGCAGGAATGGTCCCCATGTGCCTGTGAGTTACAATGTCTGTGTCCCCAAAGTCTTTTATGAGTAGCTTTTATTATCTCCAAAGTTTGCAAAGCATTTTGAAGCCAATTCTCCACAGAAGGTAATTTGGTTTCTTCCATTTTTTCCAGTTATAATACAGACTAACAAATTGTTTACTAAACACCAATGTTCTTTTTAGATCGTTAAAAGAGTCTGAGCTCCCCCCCTTCTGGTTTAAAACACATGATTCCCCCTATAATCCGTTTGATAGTTATGACAATAAGTTTCCATAAAGCTATTACATATTTACATGACCACCAAATATGTGCAAAGCCTCTGCAGGCACACATCGTTTTATTGCTTTTTGCTTTATTGGGCTTCACAGATATTGCTCCTCACGAGGAGGCGGGTGCAGCTGCAGGCAGCCAGGCCCCTTCAGGGGAAGGAAGCCCCCCAGCCGCTGCCACCCCTCCTCTGGCCACAGGAGGGGACCTGGGCTTTACCCCTCACACCCCTGCAGCCGGGGGCGGGGCAGGGCGGGGCTTAATAGACTGCATAACTTTTATATGTACTGGGAAACCAAAAGAATTGTGTTACTGGCTTTAATGCGATATTCACTTTTATTGTGGTGGTCTGGAGCAGAACCTGCAATATCTCTGAGTTATGCTTGTATACATTGCCAACAACTTGAGTTAACTTAAAACCATGTATTTTTTAAACTACCATTTTGAGGTGCATGCTTGATCACATTTCCAATAGATCTAACATCTAGCAACTTCTTCGTTGCATTTGTGCATATTTCTGACAAGTTTTTGCCAAATAAATTCCAACTGGATTCTTCCTACTGCTTTCTTTTATAACTAGAGTTCATGGCCCTTAGTGATGGAACCACATGACATATTTTCCATGGTAACCCTTTTTGTGATATCTTGCCTGAAAATACATTTTCAAAAGTTGCCAGTGCCCTATAAGCATTTTCACTTCTATCCCATTCTAATAAAAGAATTCTGATTTGCAAGTACTGAAAGGGGGTCTTATTAATCCATATTTTGAAGGCAGTTTCACGCATGTTCAGTACACATTGTTATTGTACTGTTTTTAGATAAATCTCCTATCCTAAGCATTTGTTAAAGTCCAAAGACTCAATCATTTCTTGCAATATTAAATTTAGGAGGACAGAGCATATGTCTACATATGTCATCAGTTTATAACACTTTCCTTTCATCATTTTTCGAATAAATCCAAGAAAGCAAAGCAATGTCTACTTCAGACTGTTCAATGATACAGCAGAGATTCTCTCTGCAAAGCTACTGGCACAGAGCAGTGGGGAGAGCTGTGCCAGTGGGGTGGAGCATCGGAGGCAGCAATGGGGCAGGGAAATGAGAATTCAGAGGGGCGACCTTGCAGAAGTAGAAGTGGATCTGGCAGGTTTTCAAAGACTTTACAGGTGTACTATGGAGTTTCTGATAAGTCTGTGATAGCTCAGTTGGATAGAGTGTGGTGCTGATAATGCCAAGGTTTCAGGTTCGGTCCCCATTTGGGCCAGCTGCACATTCCTGCATTGCAGGAGGTTGGACTAGATGACCCTCAGGGCCCCCTCCAGCTCTCTGATTCTGTGGTCTCTGCTTCATCAGAGGCATCTGTTGTTTTTGCTGTGACCTCTGGAAATCCTTGAGGTGTTTGCTACGGTTCCGATTAAAAAATCCTAGTAACTTCTTGGCTTTACAGATATGCCGGATTGTCAACAGCTCAAGTACTCTATTAGAAAAAGGTGCCTTTAGCAGTTTCTAAATTAATATTAAGAGGGAAATCAATGTGGATCTCGGATAGGAATGAAGTACTTAGTGAAGTACTGGTGTCTTTGAAACAAATATCTCAGAAATGTTTGACTACAATGGACATTTTTACAGACATTTGGTCTGCATTTTCTGAAACATCAATGATTAAATCCACATTGTTGGCTACTTTTCCTTCTGATCTGCCTCTTTCTTTACATCTTGTGAGAAATTTATGAACAAAGTTATTGCTAATCCATACTGTCTGTCTTGTCATTTAAGTTATTTTTAAAAAAGCACTTTGCCAAAGTAGATAAACTATGTTCAGCACGATTAACACAAGATTGAGGGCACAAGGAGAAGGGGACGACAGAGGACGAGATGGTTGGACAGCTAAGAACATGAGTTTGACCAAACTGCGGGAGGCAGTGGAAGACAGGAGTGCCTGGCGTGCTCTGGTCCAGGGGGTCACGAAGAGTCGGACACGACTAAACCACTAAACAACAACAACACTTCACATTCAGAATGGAACAGAAAGAAATTCTGACTGAAGTCCATTTGAAGTTGACAGCAAGCACACATTAGGGATTTCCCCAATTATTTATCAAGCTTCAGAGGCCTACTGAATTAAGTAGGTCACTCTTAAGAAATCCAGCTCCCCACCAGAAGTAACTGTTTATTCCCCTTTTTAGTACCCCAGCTCTAATCTAGAAGCAGAAAAAAGTGAAAATATTAAGTTATCATATCCTATTCCATTTCAAAGCACACAAAATATGCAAATAATAATAATAATAATAATAATAATAATAATAAATAATAATAATAAATAATAATAAAGGTAAAGGACCCCTGGACTTAACCGTCCAGTCAAAGGCGACTAGGGGTTGCGGCACTCATCTCGCTTCAGGCCCAGGAACCCGGCGTTTGTCCACAGACAGCTTTCTGTGTCATGCGGCCAGCAGGACTAAACCACTTCTGGCACATGGAGCACTGTGACAGAAACCAGAGTGCACAGAAATGCCATTTGCCTTCCCACCACAGCAGTACCTATTTTTCTACATGCCCTGGCATGCTTTCGAACTGCTAGGTTGGCAGAAGCCAGGACAGAACAACAGGAGCTCATCCCATTGCGGAGATTCGAACTGCCAACCTTCTGATTGGCAAGCCCAAGAGGCTCAGTGGTTTAGACCGCAGTGCCACTCGCGTCCCTGTATATTATAATATACAGTGCTGGAGTAACGGGGCTGGAGCTATGGCTGGCTTAGCTACTGTGCTGGCAGAAAGTGCCTGCTCGCGAGAAGTGCCAGCTCTGGAGACAGATAGGAGACACCAGGATCCAAGTCCTTTCCCAGCAACAGCCTTCTTCCAGGCGTCCCATGTAAATGCGTGAAAAGCTTCTTGTGCACTGCTAGACCAGCCCCATCCCTGGATGCCAAGGTGTGTTGGTTGTGCCCCCCTCCCCATGCATTGCTGCTTTCACTGCTGTACTGCTTTTCAATAGTCCCTGTGTTTTAATATTCCAGTACATCACCCTGATGTTTTATGAGGGCAGTATATAAATACATTGTTGCTGTTTAGTCGATTACTGACACAGGTCTGCAGGCGACTTTGCCCAGAGGGCTGCCTCTGTGCGGATGGGATCCCTGACTGACCAGGGTTCACATGCTGGTAATAAGAATACACCCACATTAGCTCGCTTGTCATTCCTTTTACCCTCAGTGTGCATTTCTGGTACAAACACGTGCTTCCCCTGCTTCCTCCATAAATTCACTGTTAGGGATCTTATGCAGGGTCAGAAAGATCAGTCTATTTAGGGGGCCACCAGGTGGCGCATTGGAAGATGGCTGACAATAACATCTCTCTGACCCACACGAGGTAATTAAGAGGCTGCTATGGGAAGTATGCAGCCTTCCCGACCCCCCAAGGAGATGGGGGGGGACTGCCTTGCCAGCGGTGTCCATAATGCACCCCCGGATTGAAAGAAGGGGGTGCCCGGTCACTTGGCACAAGCCCTCGGTGAAGTCGGCTCTTCCTGACGCTTTCTCCAATCAGCGTACTGGTTCGCTTCAGCTCGAAAATATAATTTGAAATATATAATTGGAAAGAAGCTGAAGCACATACATCAAGCGAAGTTCGGGAGTTAAGACTGCTGATTAATGGATCTCTGGGACCGGAGCGACGGGCGGGACAAATAAATCAAGTGATGAACCACCATTAAGAGACTGGTATGTTTGGAGTGAAACGGAAGGGGGGTGGAGGAAAAAACTTTTCTTTTCTTTGCCTTATGTGAGTATTAATAACCCTTCACCCCAGAAAGAAGAATCGTTGCATTTTATTAATCACAAGCAGGATTTTAAGAACTGTGTGGAGAGAATTATGGATCAAAGAGACGATTGGTAAACACCGAAGAATGGAGGAAAATTTTATGACGCAGTTTTAAATGGTGTCTCGCTAAGACAGGCTTGTCTAAGAAAGACGGGGGGAGGAGGACCAGGATTATCGGAATGTGAATGATGATTGGAATGTGATCTAAACCTGGCACAGCCCTCAGATATACTTGGAAAGCCTGCGAAAATTAATGGACAGACCGAGGATAAATTCTTTACGGAGGTGTGGAATGGCGGCTGTCCCTATGTGATATGATTTTTGGAGAGTGTAAAACCCACACAGAAGATGTTTGCTTTCAACCCGCTTGTGAAGTTTATCAGAGATCGCAAAGAAAGGAATATACGATAACAACAAGAAGATGAAGAAAGTAATAAAGAGACTATCCGGATAGAACTGGATAGAACTGACTAATTAAAGCAGCAATAAAAGTGATGTTTGGACCCCCGTTCGGAGCTTGAAGTATGGCAGGATAGCCTCTGCACCATTGGGGTCCTCGGCCACATCATCCCTTGGACCGACCAATGCGGTTGGTCTGGGGGTGTGGCTTGAGCTATTTAAATCGCCCGCGGTCAAGCACTCGCCCCCTTTTGCTTCCTGCTTGTGCAGTTCTCCCACCCTCCCTCCTTATCCCTTGACCTTACTATGGATCTCGGTTGGTCGCCTGTTGAAGGGGCCTGGTAGGAATTTTTTCCACTTGGCAAATTGGCACCAGCCATTTGGTTTTTCACCTACCTCATAGCAAATCGTCACAACTTTGTAAGGTTTGGCGGTTAGGCATTGGAATATTTGGTTGGAAGTGATGGGAGGTAGTGGCCATCACCTACCCCTCCTAATTCAAGGGTATTCCGTTAAAGGAATCTGAGGGGTGTGGTCTCTGTCCGAACCCCAGATTGGAGGCTTGGGCCATGGCACGACCCCTAGCAGTGACCCTGGCGGAGTACCTAGTTGATGTGCATCAGCAGGGCTCCCCCTCTTGGAGGTTAACCCTTCTGAGACTCCCTGCAGACGGGCAGGAGTCAGATATAGTCAGTTCGCTTCCAGTGCCTAAGCCAATACCACTCATTCTGTAACCAATAAAGTTGTGGCCTTTTTTAGCCCATTAACCTAAAATACTGGTTTCATTCTTACATCTCGGGATGGTTTGGGACCTCACCATGCAAACCCAGTTTCTGCAAAATAGATCCAGGGAATGCTAAAGAACCCCGATCGCAAAATGTGATATTTGCCTTCTCTTTGCAAGCACCGGGTGTCCTTCTTTTCTTTCTTTTTAAAAAGGTGTAGCTTAAGGAACTGCAGTGGAGAAAAAAGCAGAACAGCAACACATTGTTGAACCTACTTACAGACTTGTTCTATATGATTCAGAGCCAAACCTTTTGCCTTCCAAAATGTTAGGAAATATGAGCTAAAACACCTAAATTTATAAATAAATGAATAAATAAATAAATAAATGCTTTAAAGTAATTTATGGAACAAAATATCCATTGGCTTCAAGCAGAACTCTTAATACAAAGGCTAGATCAAGCACAGAATAATCCATTTCATAACATCAGTTTAGGTGAAGTCCAACTTCATGCCAACAGACACAGCAGAATTTCCCTTCCTCTGAACCCTGCTTCTCACCCCCCGTCCCCCCCCCAATCTGCTCTGGAGGGTCCTTCAACCCCCACAATAGTTTTTAAGAGCACGCAAGGAGCTGTAGGAGAGAATGTAGGGGAATCTGCTGCCCAGGGGGAAGTTACAATTGGATGTTACCCTCTGTCAGCACAAAGAAACCCACCAACTCTCGGAAGCAGTTATATACCTGCCAAACTTCAACCGAGTGTTGGCAGTGGGGAATAACTTTTTAAAAAAACAAACTGCTATTTTCAGGATTTCTAGACCAAATGACGACTTAGGAATAGACAATGAACTCCATTTCTTATCCATTCATATGAGGAATCAGATTTCTGTTGCATGCTTCTTCTTTTTTTCTTAACATGCTGAGATGTTCGAAAGGATACTATAGATTGTGAGTTAGCTGTGAAGAGCCGTTCAATATATATATATCTAAATTCCATCTCAGTATTATCCGAGTTTCTTTTCAATATTACCTACGCTGTTTTTGTATTACTATTGCTCCTCCAAATATCCTTGAATCATATATGTAGACAAAGTTATTGCATTCGCTATCTCCCCACTGCTGGGGCCTCTGCTGAGCAAATCTGCGTCCCTGCGCCAGCATTCACTCAGGCTTCCCCACTAACAGGAGACTTCTCTTAGAACTTCTCCTTGCTCTAGGAGGGCAGGACATGCTTCGAAAGATGCTTCCAATTCCCTAAAGTTATGCTCCCCGCACGACAATGTCCCCTTTCTTACTGTCAGTCCTATTCTCCCTCCAATGCTATTGACGGTGTATTTTTAAATAGAACACATCAAGGGTCCATGAAAAAAGGTAGAAATACCCCAAACCCAAATAATTCTTTACATTCATGTTCTACTTAACTTTGAAATTTCTAGCTATAGAATGTACTGTTAGCAGGAGGCTATTTAATCAAACATGGTGATTTCAAAACACTGGTCATAAATGATAAAATTTGTTCCAGCGAATTAGTACACATTTCAGAAGTAATGTTTCCTCTTCTGCATTGCCACCTTGCATTTTCTCGAGGGAACAGATAAGTTTATTTCCAGCCATCCAGTGAAATAGATTTTGATTAGAATTTGCTGAGCCGTTTGGCTACATCAGCATAAGCTATTTCAATTTCTTTGTCCGCAGCACAAGTGTTGATGAATTCATCCCGAGAATAAGCATTTTTCAGGTATCGCCAAAGTCCCGTCATTTCTGCTGGAAACTCATAGTTTCGATATTTCTTCGTTACAATCTAGAATGAAGACCCCCGCCCCCCAAAAAACCTGCTTTTAATACTTGAATATTATTAATAAGTTTTGTAACATATGGACAAAACTGCCCCCCCCCCCCCGCTGTCCAAGATCTTGTGAGATCGGGAGATCTTGGAAGGCCCTACAAGATAAAATAGTCATGGGAGACTTTAACCAATATCTGTTGGAAGGCAAACTCTGCCAAGAATGAAAGGTCCAACAAATTCCTCCATTGTCTTGCTGACAATTTCATTTCCCAGAAGGTGGAAGAAGCATCAAGGGGATCATTTAGTTTGGACCTGGTCCTCACAAACAGAAGAACTAATTGGAGAAGTCCGCTCCCCTCCCCCGGGGGGTGGTGTTGCAGGAGGGCACCCGGGACCTCCCAGTGACCCGCCAGGAGGGTGGAGGGATGCTGCCCGCGTCACTGTGACTCCCGGTTGTGCCGCGCCCCCCAGCTGACCAATTGGCACAGCTGGGGGGGGTGACCACTTGCCGTTTAAACTGCGGCGTGGCCGGGGTGTGTGTCCTTTCACCTCCTTGCCGGATTTCCCAGGTCACCCACCTTCTTTTTATGCGTTGCTATGACATCGACTTTGCTATGGACTAAGGTTGGCTGCCATGTTGTTGGGGCCAGGTAGGAATTTTTCCACTTGGCAAACTGGCACCAGCCATTTGGGTTTCACCTACCTCGTAGCAATTGTCACAACTTTGTGAGGTAAGCCTTTGTGATGGGAGGGGAGGTTGTAACCTCTGCCTGCCCCTCCTCAATAAGGGCATCCTGTTAAAAGGCTCCATGGGCTAGGGCCATGCCACGACCCATTGGGGACGCCCCGATTTGACGTATGTCTACCCTTAGTGTGACTCCTTGCAGATGGACAGGAGTCAGGATATAGCCTGGTCTTACCCAATGCCTAAGTCAAATTGCTCACATCTGTAACCAATAAAGTTGTGTCCTATTTTAGCCCATTAACCTAAATTATCCATGTCCATGTGTGTTTATTATATAAGGGAACTGTGGGACCCGGGGCCTTGCCATGCAAGTGGAAGTACTGGGAAACTTGGGAGGAAGTGATCATGTCGTCCTGGGTTTCATGATACAGAGGCAGGAGAAAAGAATTTAAGAAGGCCAATTTCAAAAAGCTAAAGGAGCTACTGGGTGAGATCCCATGGTCAGAAATACTCAAAGAGAAGGGAGTCCAAGATGGATGGGAGTTTCTTAAAGGAGAAATATTGAAGGCCTAAATGCAGATAATTCCAACAAGAAAGAAAAGTGGGAGGCATCTAAAGATACCAGTGTGGATGCATAAGGAGCTTATAGATGAGCTTAGATTTAAGAAGGGTCTATACATGAAATGGAAGAAAGGGGAAATCACAAAGGAGTATACACAAGAAGCCAACAGTTGCGGTGGGGAGCTCAGGTGGGCCAAAGCTCAAAACAAGGTCCCACTTGCAAGAGAGATTTTTTTTTTAAAGCTTTCTTTGGCTATGTTCAAAGCAAGAGGAAAAACAAGCAAGTTCCATCATATGAGGAAGCTGGCAAAATGTTGGTTGAATGAGGAAACTGTTAGGTGGATTTGGAATTGAGGGGATGCTCATCAAATTTGCAGACAACACAAACCTAGGAGAAGCAACTAATGCCGCAGAAGACAGAATCAGGATTCAAAATGACCTTAATAGGTTACAGAACCAGGCCCAAACTAAAAAACGGAATTTCAGTGGGGACAAATGTCAGGTTATGCACTTAGGTATGAAGAACTAGATGCACAAATATAAGGCTTAATGTGGCTTACAGCTGGCTTACTAGCAGTACATGTGAAAAGGATCTAGGGGTCTTGGTGGACCACAAGCTTAACATGAGTCAACAGTGTGATGCAGCAAAAGAAAAAAAAGGGGGGGAGCTAATGCTATTCTAGGCTGCATCTACAGAAGTCTAGTGTCCAGATCAAGGGAAGTCATAATGCCACTTTATTCTGCTGTGGCCAGACCACACCACACCACACCTGGAATGCTATGTCCAGTTCTCGGCACCACAATTTAAGAAGGATACTGACAAGCTGAAACAAGGGCGATCAAGATGGTCAAGGGTCTGGAAACCAAGACTTCTGAGGGAGCTGGGTATGTTTAGACCGTGTGCCATGTTGATTCAGTTAGAAGTGCCCTTTTGGTTTTTATGTTGCTGGCATCAAAATTTTGACCTGACCCCGAGTACCAGAAGTGTATTGGGTTTCTACTGATCCTGCTGATTGAAAAGATACTGCAGAGTAGTAAGACACTGAAAGATAAGTGTGGTCAGAGCACCAAGGAACTGCTGACCATCCTTTGCTAAGCTGATTGCTTGTTAATTATCAAGAGCGATCAGCTGATATTCCTTAATGGGCGCAGTCTGCCTGTGTAGTCAGAAGTCATGAAGGCTGCTTACTGAATTTGAGCAGCATCAGCTGTGAACTTAGCATGTCTGGAGGTGGCTTGGAGGTCCCCACCTGTGAACTTGGGCAGGGAACCTGGGGATCTCATGCAGGTTTAGCAGTTATGCTGCCAGCTTTAGCAATCTGTTGTGTTTGCAGTGTGCTCTGCTGGGACTTTTGTAAACAAGACAAGTCACCAAAGGCTGCAGTGATCTCCCTCTCATCCAAAGGTTTATGTAGGGCTCATTCTCCTAGGCTTCTCACTGCTCAGGGAAATGCAAAGCATGTAAAACCATGAGAGGAATGGTGGCAAAGAGGTGCCTGTTCTGAAGACAAATTCTTTTCACCTTGACAACATGAAGTTTGGGCAGAAGGTTGCAGTCGGCAAGAGTCAGCTCATCCCCATCCAAGAACTTGCGTTTCGACACTTTCTCCACCTCTGTGCTACTTGCATCTATCTCTTCAGGTAAAGGATTTCTCAGATAGTCATCCAGTTTCTTCAAAGCCTTTGTTAAACCTCTCTCCAGGCCTGTGTCAAGAAACAAATAAAGAGAAGAGTAAATAAAACAGAATTTCCAATAAAGTTCACAGCCATATACAGAAAACTTTGGACCTAGGCTGCTGGCAAAGCTTGTGATAGTTGTGTGTCTGGCCTATGTACTGTTGGGGTGATGAATCCTAGTCTTCACTAATAAAGACTGACTGTGGGACAGACAAAAGAAAAGGAAAGTCCAAAATCCTATCTTCTACACACCACCCTGGAAACCTTAGAGCATTTTTGGGATACTTGAGGCTATTACATTGAACTTCTGGTCTCATACGGAGCAATCACAAGCCTGCTGTTGGCTTGGCACTTCATCATGGCACTGTTATTTTTGGACATTCCCCAAAATGCGGAATGAATCTCATCTCTCTGCTCCAGCCATTCTCTCTCCTTCTAAAACTTTGCAATTATAAAAATCTCTGTGCCACTTTAAAAAAATAAAAAAGTATTGAAAACCTAGTTCAGTATCTTTGCCTTCACAACATTCAGACGATTCGAAGAGGGGTCTGTGATGCCAAACTGCCCGGCCTTGCATGACCAGGATCTTAGAATATATCAGACGAGTAATCTGACAACAAAATCAAATGCTATGAAAGAGTCATGGGGAGTCAACAACAGACAAACGGGGGCTAAGGTTCAATACTATGCACATTTACCTAGGAATAAATCCCATTAAACTCAATAGGACTTACTTCTGAGTAATTGCAATTAGGATTTTGCTGCACAGTGTATATTCAGTAGATTCTGATGATGATGATGATTTATCAAATTTAAATTCCCCCCTCTCACAAACACATTTTAAAGGCTGCAGAATATTAATCAGCCAAAGACATGGTTGAGGAGGAACTTTTTTGCCTTGTACCTAAATATGTAAAATGAAGGTGCCAGGTGAATCTCCCTAGGGAGAACATTCCACAAATGGGGAACCACTACAGAAAAGGCCCCGTTCTCCTGTTGCCACCTTCCGGACTTCACATGGAGGTGGCACACAAAGGAGGGCCTCAGAGGATGATTGTGGTTTATATGGAGAGAGGCAGTCCTTGAGGTATTGCAGTCCTGAGCCATTTAAGGCTTTATAGGTCAAAACCAGCACTTTGAATTGGACCTGGGAACTAATTGGCAGCCAGTGCAGTCAGGCTTGTGTTCCTGGTGAGCAATCTGGCTGCTGAATTCTGCACCAGCTGAAGTTTCCGAACTGTCTCCAGAGGCAGCCCTGTGTATAACGCATTGCAGTTACAACTGAACCTTTAGTTGACTAACAGACAAACGCTATGATCAAGCTTTACAAACACAGAGAATCTCTGTTGTTGTTTTTTTGGGGGGGGATCCAAGCTATAAATGACAGAACTTACCTATACTAAAAAAAACAAAAAAACAACAACAAGAGACTGTTATTTTTTACCTTATAAAAACTTCCCCAAAAGCCAGAGGGCCAGAGTGAGGCTGGTAGAGCTTTTGCTAAATTGTCCAGGGGGAGAGGGCTGAGCTCCCCTCAAATGATCAGGCAAACCCCACAAAGTCCTGCTGTTGTAAGTCAAAGTTCATCTTTTTAAAAATTGTTTATAAAATGCCACATAATTCTCTATTTCATGCTCTCATCAAAGCAAGCACACATTGAGCAAGATTCCAGGAGCATTCGAGAAATGATGATGCTGTGAACTATATTATTCACAAAATGATATATTTGTAAAACCCGTTTTCATAATAATAAAAGTGGTTGGCACCACTTTCCACAGGTAATCTCCTTTCCACATAAACATAGATCATAGTAAAATTAAGCAAAATTACACAAACAGAAATATGTTATCTGTTATATGGCTGGAATTAATGTGATGAAACACACATTGAAGTTTTCAAAAACAATTATGGAATCTTATGAAAGAACATCAAAATTTCAAAAGTGAACAAGCTGCAAAGTGAGGTGGGCTGAATAATTCACAGAAAATGAACAAAGTGAGACAGCATCACAGATTACATCACTAGCCAAGGCTGATTGATAAATGAGAGGGAGGGAGGGATGGGGCTGACTGCAACCTTAGCTGTATGGCAAGAGAAGGGGAGACAAAGTGGAGACTGAGAATGAAGATATCAATGAACAGTGCCGTTCCCATACAGTGCAAATCTCTTTTGATTTAAACTTATAACTTCCCCCTCTTAAATACACTTACGGAGTCTTTTGTATATTGAAGAACCGACAGTAATACTTAAGTTTAAAGCACCAGGATATGTTAATAAGATTATTTATACCAATAAATGTTTTATTGTCTCGCACAGGTAGATCTTATAGGCATATTACCTGCCTTAAATAAGCTGTCATTAGATCCTTATTCCCAAGCTGCCTATCATCACAACTCTCTTCTCTTTTCCATTTCTAAAATTTGAGAATGTGTTGTTTCTGCTCAATGGCTCTACTTTTCCTACTTCCAAAGTTGCCCCTTTGCATTGGTTCTGCTGAAATCACTTTAATGAAAATGCCCAGCAACCCGTTTCCTGCTACAACACATGATCTCTTACCATGTTCTTCTTTTAGATTTAAATTGTAAATATTTATCCTTCAGGGCTGAGAGAGATGACAGGGAAGACCAGGGGTGGGCAAGGGGCAGCATTTTGGGGAAATTGTGAATGAAACTCTGTATCCCAATGACTGGAAATGAATCATATATTGGTGGAATCAGGTTGAGGAATCAATCCATGTCACAACTGAATTCCATGGGATTCAATGACATCTCCTGGCCTTAACCTGTCAGGGAAGGTGCACAAGTACAAAGGGGGGGGGGATGACAAAAACTTATTTCTTCAGGTCTTCAAAGGCATTAGGGTGAACCGGCTGGTCCAGTGCCCTATGAAAGTTCTTCCCCCAGGAGGTGCCATTGGGCTGTCAGCTTTGTCTTCCTGGAGGTGGTGGTGGGAAAGGGTCTTTTCCACGTCCTCCCCTCCTGGAACATCTCCCCCTCTGACTTGGGCAACTCTGCAAGGCTTGTGTTCAAGGCTGGAAAGGAGCCATGCATAAAAGCAGGCCTTTTAAGGAACTATAACACACACCAGAACAAGGGCCCATTTATCATTTTTTAAAGCAGTGATATAAAGTGATTGAAGTATTGCCATTTCTCAGACAAAAGTGTTACTATCTCTAATTTAATAAACCCTAAATTTAATTTTTGCACTTGATATTCTACTGCCCGATTAATCTCCTTTGGCTGCATTTTTCTATGCAAGCCACACTGAAATGACAATATTGGCAGGGTGCATAGAACACTATTATTAGAGCAGCCCTGGAAATATGGAGAATTCCCTTTTCTTTTTCGAACCTATTAACACCGATTGAATAAAAGGTTTTCCTTGCACGGTAAGCAAAGAATAATATTGTTTTACTGTCCCATTCAAAATCAAGTTATTTACTTAATTTAACTCAATTGGATTTTTGAAATCCTGGCTCAACCATCTATTTTTCAGTGGTGGCCGTCTTCAGATAGGCTTGCCTGCACTTGCCCATCTGCTTCCTATTTCCCGTTTGAGGAGGTGGTGGAGAGGAAATGGAGAGCATGGCTTATATTCTGCCTCTTAGAAGAAGCATGGCCAGCACCTGCCTTCTTGGGAGCCTCTCTGATCTCCTGACGGTGCAAATTTCTCCACGCACATCTGACTCCTTCGCCCTCACCTGTTCTCTGGCTCCACAATAGAGATGAAACCACCCAGTGTTCAAGGTTTCTAAAGCTATGGGGCACACCTGCTCAGGCGTTGCATATAAAATAGAGAAGAAAAATACTGCCAGTGAGTAACTTTTTTCAAAATGTAAAGATTTCATAATTTTCACAATTTGGTGTGCGACTGAAGAGGCAGATAAAATTTGCTTTTGGAGATGAGTCTGGCCCCATGTCGCCAATTGGCCATTCCCATTTTAGAGAAACAGCAGTGTTTTTATGACGGCAACACTATTCCGGGAACTAGACACCAATTATATTAACTGTATCTTGCACAGCTATTCAGACATTTGCATAAGACAGACCCATATTCCCCCCCCCCCTAAATCATGCAGGATAGAGCAGTGCATCCCTGCCACTGAACCTTGGGCCACTTTAGGGGGGCAGCAGCACCCAGGGCCCCACAGTCTGCCCAGGGACTCTCTCCCTTGCTTGCCTGCCCCCCTAGTTTTGCCATAGCCTTTGGGGGGGGGGAGAGGGAAGGCTGGAGGACTTGTTAAAGGAAATTGGACATAAAAGGGGAACATTTATTAGAGAGAGAGAGAGAGAATATAAAAAGGAATGGGATAAGAAAGGGACGCTGTTATGGGAGGAAGAAAGGCATGTAAAAGGACCAGGGAGGAGGAATGAAACAAACTGGCAGTGTGGGAGCAGTGGTGTAGAGATGTCCGATCTGGCTATGGTGAGGCAATACAACTTAATTGCATCTTATTTGGACTGTAACACACTCTGTGTGAATGTCTGAAAAATGTCCAGAAATTTCAGAACGCTGCAACCATTCAACTGCCTGGGACGGTCTTAGCCTGACTCCAGCACGGCAGGCTTCCTACCCATCTGTTTCTAGGAACAATCCAAATAACTAGGTATAACCTACAAAGCCCCAAATGGCTTGAGAGCAGGTTCCCTGAAAGACCGCATTCCGTCCTATGAGCCCATTTTGAAGATCTTCAGGACTTCTCGGTGGCCAGAGCTCCTTGCCAGGGAGGCCTCTCTTTTCAGCCTGAAGACCTTCCGGAAGCAGCCAGATGTGTTTTTGTTCCGACTGGCCTTGAGCCTGATCTATTCTTTTATTTTCTATCCCACCCTTTCCTCAGGGCAGCGTGCAAAACAGAGGCCCACCCGTACAATTCATTTTATCTTCACAATAACCTTGTGAGGTAGGAGAGGGTGAGAGAGAATAACTGGCCCAAAGCTATTCATTGCCTTGAGGGTCTGGACCTCCGTGTTAACCATTTGATGGACAGGGCTGGATGGAAGCATCATGGACCAACAAGAATACTTTTCCAGGCAATGACCCAACAATTCTTGAGAACAGAAGCCACTTTTCAAACAAATGAGGGCGAGTTCTTCTGCCTCCGTTATGTAACTCCTTTCTAGTTATGAGGGAAAGTAGTTCATGCAGCCACATATGGGAATGGCTGAACAACGCTTCAGAGCTCTCTTTTTTCCTAAGGCAAGCAGACTTCCTTTCAGGCTGCAATATGAAGCCACCCCAAAATGACCTCTGTAAACCTGCAAGCTGCTTAATTGTCACGCGGAGGCATGTTTAACAAACTATGACCTGTGTACAAAATGAATCGTGACTGCTGCTACCTTTGGCCACTGATTGATGCCTTTTCTTTTTACTGCTCTTTTCCACCCACACAAGATTTATCCCATAACACACACAAATGAATTGGATGAAATATGCAATGAGTGAAAAGGGGAAACTGTACATAAATATTCAGTCCCACACAAACAATCTGAGATTTATTTTTCCTTAAAACACACACACACCACCTTTCTTGATCACTTCCAGATTCATAGCATATTGCATGAGGTCTATTGCATTTTTCTGGTTTGTTCCCACTACTTTGGAACAGAAAATTAAGGTAAAATACAACAAAATCAAACCATTCCGCTTCATTAGGCAGTCTGATTTAAAGACCACATCTTAGTTAAACTTCTCATAATCTGGACAAGTAATACCCTAATGCAAATTTTTACCCCCTTAATTTTCTTTATAAATTCATCTTCAGCAAGTAAACTGCTCATCTAGATATTGTTTTTGCCATGGGGCAGGTTTTGTACCCTTGGCTAATCTTGCTTTGGATGGCAGCTTCAGGAGTCTCTGTGCTGAAGCCATGCAGATCTCGAGTGGAGACCATGAGAAGTCAGCTTGAGAACTAAGTTGGCACCGAAAAATGAAGAAATAAAAGGGGTGTCTGTAGGAAAAAATGAATATAAAGTCAAAGCGTTTGCGGACGATCTGGTAATAACGGTAGAAGAACCAGCGGGAAGTGTTAAAAGAATTTTAGAAGGAATAGATCAATTTGGTCAAGTTGCAGGATTTTACTTAAATAAAAGAAAGACCAAAGTTATTGCTAAAAATATGAATCAAGAACTAATAGAGGTGATGCAACAACAGACAGGGATTGAAGTGGTGAATAAAGTGAAGTATTTAGGAATATGGTTAACTCCCAAGAATATTGATTTGTTTGAAAACAATTACTTACCTGTTTGGAATGGAATAAAAAGGGATCTGGAGGTGTGGGGAAGATTGAAACGCTCCAAAGAATTAGAGAGCTGGAGCTCTTCTTGGAAGCAACAGAGCACACCGTCTCCACCAAGGAGGAGACAGGGGACTCCCCTGAGAAGGAGGCTAGTTCACCAACACAGGAGCCAGATATATGGAGAAACGTGACTCAAAGAAGTAGGAGGCCCAGGGTTCGCTCTGATTGTTTAGAAATACACAATCGCTTTGAGGTCCTCTCCCTTAGCATGGAAGATGAAGAGCAGACTCCATTTGAGGATCTCGACCTCATTACAGTCGATCAGGTATATGAAGACGAGCAGCAAAGTCAGTCCTCAGGGAATGTGCAGGCGACCTTGGAACGGACAGCTCACGGAAGAACCCCGACCAAGCCTAAGAGGAGGCGTGTAGTGGTGATAGGGGATTCCCTACTGAGGGGAACAGAAGCAGTGACCTGTGGGCCTGACAAGATGTCTCGGGAAGTGTGCTGTCTCCCCGGGGCTAAGATCCAAGATGTACCTGAACGACTGCAAGGAATCATAAAACCCACTGACAAATACCCCTTCCTCTTGGTTCATGTGGGAACCAATGACACTGCAAGCAATAGCCTCCAGAAGATCAAAAGAGACTACGAGGCTCTGGGCAGGAAATTGAAGCAATTAAATGCACAAATTGTCATCTCATCTGTCCTCCCAGTTGAACGACATGGCCCAGGGAGAGAGGGGAAAATAGTGGAAGTGAACAGCTGGCTTCGCAAATGGTGTAAACAGGAACGGTTTGGATTCTTAGATCACGGACTGCAGTTTCTTGAAGATGGACTTCTGGCAAGCGATGGGCTGCACCTCACAACGGTTGGGAGGAATGTTTTTGCCAAAAATCTCAGAAACCTCATCAGGAGGGCTTTAAACTGACTAATGTGGGGAGGGAGACAGTGCTCCTGAAGGTAGGAGTCTATCAATTGATGAAGATGATCATCCAAATGTCATAGACCAAATGGAGCAAACAGCACGCAGACCTAGTGGTGGGAGGAAAAAAATCCTTAAATAAGAGACACGGGGGAATGATTAATGGACTTCAATGCCTGTACACTATTGCGCAAAGCATGGGAAATAAACAAGATGAGCTTGAGCTCTTGGTACAGCAAACTAAATATGACATAATAGGCATCGCTGAAACCTGGTGGGATAAGTCCCACGACTGGAATGCAATAATGGAGGGATACAATCTATTTCAGAGAAACAGACCAGACAAGAAAGGAGGAGGAGTGGCGTTATATGTCAGGGATGTGTATACCTGTGAAGAGATCCAAGATTTAGAACCTCAAAGCCAAAGTGAGAGCATTTGGGTCAAAATTAAGGGAGAGAAGAATAACAGTGACCTCATTGTGGGAGTTTACTATAGATCCCTAAGCCAAACGGAGGACACAGATGATGCCTTCCTGGAACAGATGGCCAAGCATGCAAAAAGAAGGGAGATAGTAGTAATGGGGGACTTCAATTACCCGGATATTTGTTGGATGTCAAACTCAGCCAAGAGCATAAGGTCAAACAGATTCCTCACTGGCCTTGCAGACAACTTCATTGTCCAGAAAGCGGGAGAAGCAACAAGAGGAACAGCCATTTTAGATCTGGTCCTAACCAACGTTGATTACCTGGTTAGTGGGGTAGAAGTGGAAGGATCATTAGGCGCGAGTGATCATGCTCTTCTGAAGTTTACTATACAGCAGAAAGGAGCAGCCAAGCATACTAGGACTCAATTTCTTGACTTTAAGAAAGCCGACTTCATAAAACTTAGGGAAGTGCTGGGTGAGATCCCATGGACAGTAATACTAAAAGGAAAGGGAGTTCATGATGGCTGGGGGTTTGTTAAGAGGGAGATAGTAAAAGCACAACTTCAGGCAATACCAATGAGACGGAAACATGGAAGGTGCCTAAAGAAGCCAGGGTGGCTATCTAAAGAACTTTTAACTGAGTTAAGATTAAAAAAAGGATGTGTACAAAAAATGGAAAAGGGGGGAAAGCACCAAAGAGGAATTCAAACAAATAGCCAGCACGTGTAGACACAAAGTCAGAAAAGCTAAAGCACAGAATGAACTCAGGCTTACTAGAGAGGTTAAAAGCAACAAAAAAGGCTTTTATGGGTATGTTCGTAGCAAAAGGAAGAACAAAGAAACAGTGGGGTCACTCAGAGGAGAAGATGGTGAAATGCAAACAGGGGACACAGAAAGGGCTGAACTCCTCAATGCCTTCTTTGCCTCAGTCTTCTCCGATAAAGAAAACAATGCCCGACCTGAAGAATTTGGAGCAAATGATTCAGCAAAGGAAACACAGCCCAGAATAACTAATGAGATAGTACAAGAATACTTGGCTAGTTTAGATGTATTCAAGTCTCCAGGGCCAGATGAACTGCATCCAAGAGTATTAAAAGAACTGGCAGATATGATCTCAGAACCACTGGCAGTCATCTTTGAGAATTCCTGGAGAACAGGCGAAGTCCCGGCAGACTGGAGGAGAGCAAATGCTGTCCCTATTTTCAAAAAGGGGAAAAGAGAGGACCCAAATAATTACCGCCCAGTCAGTCTGACATCAATACCAGGGAAGATTCTGGAGCAGATCATTAAGCAAACAGTCTGTGAGCACCTAGAAAGGAATGCTGTGATCACTAATAGTCAGCATGGATTTCTGAAAAATAAGTCATGTCAGACTAACCTGATCTCGTTTTTGACAGAATTACAAGCCTGGTAGATGAAGGGAACGCAGTGGATGTAGCCTACCTTGATTTCAGCAAGGCATTTGACAAGGTGCCCCATGATATTCTTGTAAAGAAGCTGGTAAAATGCGGTCTTGACTATGCTACCACTCAGTGGATTTGTAACTGGCTTACTGATTGAACCCAAAGGGTGCTCATCAATGGTTCCTCTTCATCCTGGAGAAGAGTGACTAGTGGGGTGCCACAGGGTTCTGTCTTGGGCCCGGTCTTATTCAACATCTTTATCAACGACTTGGATGATGGACTCAAGGGCATCCTGATCAAATTTGCAGATGACACCAAACTGGGAGGGGTGGCTAACACCCCAGAGGACAGGATCACACTTCAAAACGACCTTGACAGATTAGAGAACTGGGCCAAAACAAACAAGATGAATTTTAACAGGTAGAAATGTAAAGTATTGCACTTGGGCAAAAAAAATGAGAGGCACAAATACAAGATGGGGGACACCTGGCTTGAGAGCAGTACATGTGAAAAGGATCTAGGAGTCTTGGATGACCACAAACTTGATATGAGCCAACAGTGTGACGCGGCAGCTAAAAAAGCCAATGCAATTCTGGACTGCATCAATAGGAGTATAGCATCTAGATCAAGGGAAGTAATAGTGCCACTGTATTCTGCTCTGGTCAGACCTTAAACTTTATTATGAATCAGCAGCTTTTTGCTGGTTGAAAGAATGGCTACTTCTTGAAAATACAGACATTTTGGATTTAGAAGGTTTTAATAATGTATTTGGATGGCATGCATATTTATGGTATGATAAGGTCAAAGCACATAAAGCATTTAAAAATCATATTGTCAGGAAAGCACTGTTTAATGTTTGGATAAGATATAAGGATTTATTGGAAAACAAAACCCCAAGGTGGTTGTCACCGATGGAAGCGAAAGCTCTGAAAAGGCTCAATATGGAGGCCAAATGGCCGAAATATTGGGACATTTTGGAACAAGAAGGAGACAAACTGAAATTGCAGAGTTTCGAGAAATTAAAAACAAAGTGCGAGATTGGCTTCATTATTATCAGATAATGGAGGCATACAATTTGGATAAGAAAATTGGCTTCCAGGTGGAAAAATCAAAACTAGAAACAGAATTGTTAGAACCCAAAACTAAGAATTTGTCAAGAATGTATAACTTGCTGTTGAAATGGAATACTCAGGATGAAACGGTGAAATCTGCTATGATTAAATGGGCACAAGATGTTGGACATAATATTATGTTTGCTGACTGGGAACAGTTATGGACCACAGGTATGAAGTTTACGGCATGTAATGAGAGAATATTATGAAAATGATATACAGGTGGTACATGACCCCAGTCAAGCTTGCAAAAATCTATCATTTGCCCGATAATAAATGTTGGAAATGTAAAGAAACCAAAGGTACATTCTTTCACCTTTGGTGGATGTGCCCAAGGATTAAGGCTTTCTGGGAAATGATATATAATGAACTGAAAAAGGTATTCAAATATACCTTCTTGAAGAAACCAGAGGCCTTTCTCCTGGGCATAGTCGGCCAATTGGTGCCAAAGAAGGACAGAACTTTTTTTATGTACGCCACAACAGCAGCAAGAATACTCATTGCAAAGTATTGGAAGACACAAGATTTACCCACTTTGGAAGAATGGCAGATGAAGCTGATGGACTATATGGAACTGGCAGAAATGACTGGCAGAATCCGAGACCAGGGAGAAGAGTCGGTGGAAGAAGAGTGGGAGAAATTCAAAGATCATCTACAGAAATATTGTAAAATTAATGAATGTTAGAATGATGTTGGATAGAAATTAAGTGGTTTCCAGCTGTAATGCTTTAAGGGAATATGAAAAAAGGGTTATAAATAGGTTAAAATCTAATGCTATTATTTTTAAGATCAAGGATTAGGATAATTAAAGAGGGTAAGGATTTGCTGAACCAACAGATTGAAGTGGAATACAAAAAAGGGAGGTATGAGGAGGTCCGGGAAACAAGCTAAAGGAAAATAGGTAATGGAAAATCTGTGTGTTTTTAACCATTTTTATTTTGTATTTTTGTTATTTTTTTCATTTTTATTGTAATATTTTAAAAAATCTTAATAAATATCTTATTAAAAAAAAGAGAGAACTGGGCCAAAACAAACAAGATGAATTTTAACAGGGAGAAATGTAAAGTATTGCACTTGGGCAAAAAAAATGAGAGGCACAAATACAAGATGGGTGACACCTGGCTTGAGAGCAGTACATGTGAAAAGGATCTAGGAGTCTTGGTTGACCACAAACTTGACATGAGCCAACAGTGTGACGCGGCAGCTAAAAAGCCAATGCAGTTCTGGGCTGCATCAATAGGAGTATAGCATCTAGATCAAGGGAAGTAATAGTGCCACTGTATTCTGCTCTGGTCAGACCTCACCTGGAGTACTGTGTCCAGTTCTGGGCACCACAGTTCAAGAAGGACACTGACAAACTGGAACGTGTCCAGAGGAGGGCAACCAAAATGGTCAAAGGCCTGGAAACGATGCCTTATGAGGAACGGCTAAGGGAGCTGGGCATGTTTAGCCTGGAGAAGAGGAGGTTAAGGGGTGATATGATAGCCATGTTCCAATATATAAAAGGATGTCACATAGAGGAGGGAGAAAGGTTGTTTTCTGCTGCTCCAGAGAAGCGGACACAGAGCAATGGATCCAAACTACAAGAAAGAAGATTCCACCTAAACATTAGGAAGAACTTCCTGACAGTAAGAGCTGTTTGACAGTGGAATTTGCTGCCAAGGAGTGTGGTGGAGTCTCCTTCTTTGGAGGTCTTTAAGCAGAGGCTTGACAACCATATGTCAGGAGTGCTCTGATGGTGTTTCCTGCTTGGCAGGGGGTTGGACTCGATGGCCCTTGTGGTCTCTTCCAACTCTATGATTCTATGATTCTATGAAATTATCTTTTTGGGGGAGAATATCTACGATTAAGATGAGTGTGCTGCCAAAGATGTTATTTTTATTTTAATCACTACCAATAATCAAGGGGGCAATAGTATTTAAAGAATGGCAAAAAACAATTTCAAGATATATCTGGCAGGGCAAGAAGCCAAGGATTCAGTTTAAGTTACTAACTGATGCGAAAGAAAGACTTGTTCTGCCAGACTTGAAATTATATTATGAAGCATCATGCCTCTGTTGGTTAAAGGAATGGATTAAACTAGAGAATGGGGAGTTGTTGGACTTAGAAGGATTTGATAATAGATTTGGTTGGCATGCATATTTATGGTATGAAAAGAAGAAAATTCACAAAGGGTTTGAAAACCACATCTCCCGAAGATCGCTGATAGAGGTATGGGAGAGGTATAAAAATTTGCTTGAACCAAGACTCCCCCACTGGATTTCACCACTAGAAGTGATGAGTGTGAAAAAGATTAATATGAGGGGGGGGGTGGATAACATATGGAGAATTGATAGTAAGAGAGGGGGGGAAATGGAAAATGAAATCTTATGAAGATGTGAAAGAATTTGTTTATGATTGGTTGCATTATTATCAGGTCAATGAAATGTTCAAAAAAGATTGTAAAGAGCGTGGATATGAAGAAAAAGAATCAAAATATCAAACAGAGGTATTGAATAATGAGTATAAAAATTTGTCAAAAATGTATAAAATGTTGCTGGAATGGCATACAAAAGATGAAGAGGTCAAATCGGTAATGATACATTGGGCCAGAGATTTTGGGTATAATATACAATATGATGATTGGATGAAATTATGGAATGAGAGGTTAAAATTTACAGCATGTACTGCGTTGAAGGAAAATATAATGAAAATGGTATACAGATGGTATATAACGCCAGTAAAACTGGCTAAAATGTATAAAATATGCAATAAGTGTTGGAAATGTAAAGAAAAAGAAGGAACTTTCTATCATATGTGGTGGGAGTGTAAAAGGGTGAAAGGCTTCTGGGAAATGATATACAATGAATTGAAAAAGATGTTGAAATATACGTTTGTTAAGAAACTGGAGGCCTTCTTACTAGGATTGGTAGGTAATGAAATTAATAAGAAAGATTGTAAACTTTTCCAATACGGAGTAACAGCAGCAAGAATACTTCTGGCGCAAAGATGGAAGCAGAAAGAAATTCCAACGGTGGAAGAATGGAGAACGAAATTGACTGAATACGCAGAATTGGACAAACTAACAGGGAAGATTCAATACCAGAGAGACCAAAAGTTCATCGAGGCCTGGGGGAGATTTACAGAATATCTGAAAAACATATGTGATGTACAGATAACGCTTGTTGGTTTTCAAGAGACTCTGTGAAAAATTAAGAAATATTGTAAAAAAGAGAGTAAGAAGGGAGAGGTGATTTTAAAAGGCAATAATAAGTTTAGAAATTTAACAATATAAATTTAAACGAAAGATTGGCAGAGAAACTGCGGGAAGTCAAAAACTGATGAATGTGTGATAAAATGTGAATTGATTGTATAAAAATGTTTTGAAAATGAATAAAAATATTTTTATTTTTTTTAAAAAAAGAGAGAACTACGTTGGCACCAGCACCCAGCAGAAAGCGCTTCCGTTACGGAGCACATGTGCACAGACACACCTTGATTTACTTGGGGGTTCCTTCCCCTCTTTCCACTCCTCAATGGAGTAATCCGTACATATAAATAAAAAATCCGTACATGAGATCTAAGACCCACCTGGTCCAGCACTCACCTCAGAATGGCAACTGTAGGAGTGCAAACGCAACAGCAACCAGGAAAAGTATACCTGGAGAGAGGCTCCTTGTGATCACTTGCAATGGTTATTGACAACCATATGTCAGGAGTGCTCTGATGGTGTTTCCTGCTTGGCAGGGGGTTGGACTCGATGGCCCTTGTGGTCTCTTCCAACTCTATGATTCTATGATTCTAATTGTTATTGCTATTGTAAGTTTTTAACCTTTTTTTTTTTACTTTGTAAGTCACACTGAGCCTTTTGAGTATAAGGCAACATATAAATAAAGTTGTAATAATAAAATATAACAATTGCTCCTTACAAACTGCTCTGAAATTTATTTTCCTCTTTGCATGCAGGTAGAATTGAATCAAATAATTATAATTTTTAAACATTAAATCATCTGATATTTTTCTAGAAAAAGAGGTGCCAAAACTCACCATGAACCCTTGTTCTCTTATAATGACAATGGCACCCAACTGAGAGAGGCCAGAACTGAGTTCCAGCTGGGGAAAAAAAGCCCTTATTGGATTTTTGGATTTGATATCCCGCCTTTCACTCCCTTTAAGGAGTCTCAAAGCGGCTAACATTCTCCTTTCCCTTCCTCCCCCACAACAAACACTATGTGAGGTGAGTGGGGCTGAGAGACTTCAGAGAAGTGTGACTGGCCCAAGGTCACCCAGCAGCTGCATGTGGAGGAGCGGAGACGCGAACCCAGTTCCCCAGATTACGAGACTACCGCTCTTAACCACTACACCACACTGGCTCTATTAAATCAGACATGAAAAGATACTTCCATTAGAGGTATTTATCAAATTCTTAAAAGTTTCCATGTAGGTAATATAATTGTGGGTGAAATTACTGAGATCCTAAAATGTGCAGGGTGAAGCAATATCTGGGATACAATTTATAGACTTTTAGGACCAAATTGATGTAATGGTCCCATTTCTTTAACCTTAGTTTGGCTGACCCACATATAAAACAGGTGGAGGTACATTATTATAAAAGGTAAAGGTACCCCTGCCCGTACGGGCCAGTCTTGCCAGACTCTAGGGTTGTGCGCTCATCTCACTCTATAGGCCGGGAGCCAGCGCTGTCCGCAGACACTTCCAGGTCATGTGGCCAGCGTGACAAGCTGCATCTGGCGAGCCAGAGCAGCACACGGAACGCCGTTTACCTTCCCGCTGGTAAGCGGTCCCTATTTATCTACTTGCACCCGGGGGTGCTTTCGAACTGCTAGGTTGGCAGGCGCTGGGACCGAGCGACGGGAGCGCACCCTGCCGCGGGGATTCGAACCGCCGACCATGCGATCGGCAAGTCCTAGACTCTGTGGTTTAACCCACAGTGCCACCCGGTAGCTAAAACACATGCAGGTGGGGGAAGATGAACCCTCCCACCACTATTTACCTGTCTGAAGCAGACACCCCCACCTGCCCTACCGCCATCCATTCCCCTAGTCTAGCTCACTTCCTCTACTGGCTCATCTGCAGCCAGTACTCTGAGGAACAAATAGAAAAGCAATGACAAACCTAGACAGCATCTTAAAAAGCAGAGACATCACCTTGCCAACAAAGGTCCGTATAGTTAAAGCTATGGTTTTCCCAGTAGTGATGTATGGAAGTGAGAGCTGGACCATAAAGAAGGCTGATTGCCGAAGAATTGATGCTTTTGAATTATGGTCTGGATGAGACTCTTGAGAGTCCCATGGACTGCAAGAAGATCAAACCTATCCATTCTGAAGGAAATCAGCCCTGAATGCTCACGGGAAGGACAGATCGTGAAGCTGAGGCTCCAATACTTTGGCCACCTCATGAGAAGAGGAGACTCCCTGGAAAAGACCCTGATGCTGGGAAAGATGGAGGGCACAAGGAGAAGGGGACAACAGAGGACGAGATGGTGGGACAGTGCTCTCAAAGCTACCAGCATGAGTTTGACCAAACTGCGGGAGGCAGGGGAAGACAGGAGTGCCTGGCGTGCTCTGGGGGGTCACGAAGAGGCGGACACGACTAAACGACTAAACGACAAAACCATGAGTAGAAAAGGACTTTATACCCCACATTCAAGCACAGCCCCCTCATGGAGGCCCCACTTCAAACAAGCAGTGCCTTCCTGTGCTTGTACCGTGTTCATGTGAGGACTGCCACTAAGTATAAACTGGGCCAGAAACAGAGGGGAACAAGTTAGTAAAGCATCTCGTGCAAATCTTTGAATTTCTCTAGCAGCCACGTGCAAGCGCTGCTGCTTCTTTTCTGGAAAGAAACTGTGCTTAGTAGATAAGGCCCTTTATCTGCCTCCTTTAAAAATGTCTTTACACCACATACCGAGTGCTAATGCTGCAAGAGAAAAATCAAGACCTAAATGTAAAGCCACATTTTATAAATGAAAGATGATCATTACAGCATTCCAAATTAAGCTGCTGTGTGTTTACACAGACTGTGCAGTGCAATTTAAATGATCAAAGAGCAGCGGGAGATACCTCGAAAACCAGGCATCCCAAAGTAATTTCAGATTTTTACGAAACGTGTTAGGCCATGGCCACAGGAAAATGGAATATCTTCTAGTCTGCTTGGCCTGGACTACAGTGCCCCCTGGAGTTCTAGAGAACAATTAACAATTTGCAAAAAGAAGGTCCCATTGGTTTCATCTTCTTATATTCTATTTTATGCTTATGTACAAACTGATAAAGAATCCATTTCTGATAAAGGAAACTCCATATTTTAGCGGATGGCTTTGCTGTTGCTGCATTCCCCATGCCAGAAAACTACCACATTTGACACATGGGGAGCATCCTGTCACTGGGTTCATGTCACACGCTAGCTTACGATTTTTGATGACACATTACTAGACACAAGACACATTTTGTGTACACACTGAAGAAGAATGCAACTGCAAAAAGAACAAAAGTCAAATGTATGTGCAAGGTCTTACACAGACTCAGCAGTTACCGGAATGTATTTCTTAATATTCCTCATGACGATACAAGATTCTCTTCTTTCATATCACTTACTTTTTTAACCACCACTGATATCTCTATAAATTGCTTTTGATTTGTACTGGAATAAAACAGAAAAAAGTACATGAGCGAGACCCAAAACCAAAACCCTCCATTGCCCCCTGGAGAGTCACGACCAGTTGGCCTTGACCATGCTGCGCTGGATGGGGCATACATTCCATTCATCTACACACACATACAGTCAGGGCTTGACCCCCACTGTATGACCCCCACTTTCCGTCTTGCCTGGCTCTTTTCTCAGGGAAAACCAGCTCTTCAACTCTTAATTGGAGCAAAGGGTAGTCCACAGAAAAACCGAATTGCTGTTTGCTCTGACTGAGCACCAAAGAACGGTTTTCTTCCAGCGGGAGAGCAGAGGGATGAGAGAAAATATGGATCAGCTCTCAGACCACAAACCAAAAGACAGGCACAAAAAGTATGGGATGGGCAGGCAGCACCATTGTACTTTAAAAGCTTATATATATATATATATCACAGTACATTTCTGGAAACTAGGCCTGCTATGTTTTCTTGCCTTTTTCTCTATGTCTTTTAACAGAAGCCTGAAAAACAAATTAAGCAGATCTGCCATGGAGACAAGGCCAAAACACCTACCATCCGTGGCACACCCAAAAAACCATTTGGCTGCTTTGAGCATTTGGCAGGGATGGTGAAGAAGTCCCAATGGCCTGCGTACCTTTTCCAGTCCCTTTCCTTCCCAGGCAACAAAACCTTCTAGCCAGCAACAGGGAGGGCTAGAAAGACACCCAAGAGGTCCTGTGGGACGTGCCCTTAGAAATGACATTCCTGAGCGTGCCCCATCAATACGGGTTACTGCCATCTTGGGATTGTGGCGTGTCCAGTTTTTCCTGCCTCCCAATTCAATTCTGTCCACTAGGAAGAAATGGCTTCACCTAAATACAGGCCCTGACTGACAAGCCAGTTGAAATGGTAAGGAAAGGGTGACTGAGGAAGGTTAGACCCACTTGAGCCAGATCCAGACTCAAAGCAGTCCAGACCCAAATCGAAATGGGGTGAAGATTTGTGAATGGCATCAATGGGGGGCGGGCGTGGGGAGCTCTGATTCTAAACTTTCTGCATTCAAAGTTTGCCCCATCATGACAGGCCGGTTTCCTCTGTTAATTTATCCACATCGGCCTGTTTTCAAAATTCTAGAGGCAGGGCTAAGCTGACAACCCAACTGGAAACACTTGTTACCTCGGGTTACACACGCTTCAGGTTACAGAATCCGCTAACCCAGAATTAGAACTTTGCTTCAGGATGAGAACAGAAATCATGCTCTGGCGGCACAGCAGCAGCAGGAGGCCCCATTAGCTTAAGTGGTGCTTCAGGTTAAGAACAGTTTCAGGTTAAGTACGGACCTCCGGAACAAATTAAGTTCTTAACCCGAGGTACCACTGTACTTTTATTGTCATTAGTTTTGCTTCATATCTTGTTTTCAGCCATATAACGGGGGGGGGGGGGGAGTACCGATCCTTTACGTCTTTCAAAGCAAGGTGAAAGATCCAGCCACGGAAAGCTAGCAGCTGGGATGGAGATGCAGTGCTGTGGTCCCTCTTTGGGCCCGCCTGCCTGTCCTCTCTCCTCTGTTCCCTTCACCTTGGATTTGGCAGGATGAGTGCTGGCCAAGTCCTTATTTGACTAGCAGCCTCCAGGCACAGCATTAATTACCATGCTTGACAGACAGTGACAACTTCTGCCTCTGAATAAATCCTCAGTTTCCCACAGAATCCTCAGAAACATGAAACAACAAAATCCCTGAAAAATATTTGAGAAAAAATTGTTTGTACCCACTTTTGAAAAGTGAATAGAATTCCTTTTTGCAAAGCCTGAAATCAAATCCCTTGTAACTTTAAACCTTATCCTTAAATAATAAGCGACCAGGTTCTGACCATCTTCAAGTGCACATCTGCTTCCTAGTAAGGTTCCCAGGTCTAAACTCTGTCCTGTGTTGCACAGTTCTTCCCATCACAGTGACGGGAGAAGCTGTACTTGAGAGAATTCTCCATGCAATGCACTGTAACTCTTCAATGCAAAGGTTTCCTCTTCAGGTCTAGCTAGACCTGTTAACTCTACCTTCCAAGTAATACAAATTCTTTCAGAAATTGGTGGTTGCTTGATAAAGGAAAGAGCACACTTAAAACGCACACGACAAGCACTGTAAATCACCACTTGCCTTCCTGCAAATGGGCCAACGTCAGTACTGCTAAGCTAGAGTCAAACTGATGTAGACATTCCTGGGAATCGTATCCAACAGAGACTTCTGGCAGCATACTCTTTGCTATATATAGCCACTAGGCATTTCCCGCCTCTCTTACCTAACCACATGATGCAGCAACGGGGAGGGGGGAGGGGGTTAATCATATGTAAATTAATGATATAATGTTCTTTTATTTTTAGGGCCTTGATCTGAATCCAGGCCAGACCAGTGGATTCCTCTGGGCAGACGGCTGGAAATTCCACAGAATGAAATCGATGCTGGTGGTCTCACAGCTCAGCGAAGAGCAGAACATTGGAACACCTTAATGAAGGTGGCCACCAACCCGGGGCACCATTAAATATTCAATTCAGTACAAATTTAAAAAAACAACCCTCATATGAAATCAAAGGGCTCATTCTCTCAGTCAAGGTGAGTACAATTTTAGGAAATATTAGTCAGCTGCAAACAGCTAGTTGCTCTCTACACCATCTCCTTCAGCAGCAAATAAACAGCCGGGGGTGTGTGTGGGGGAGCACCTGAGTACTCAGCTGATCATTGGCACATAAATGCCTGCTTTTACCTGCATCTCCTGTGCCATAGTCAGAAATCAGTTGGATTCTTTGCATTTGCCAATTTGGACTAGGGGGATCAGGTATACTGAGGATATCAAATGGCACTAATTTCTGATTAACAAGCTGCTTTTCTGAGGAAGAAGCAGACGTTAGATGGGGCAAGGCCCTAATCCAGGGGTCAGCAAACTTTGTTAGCAGGGGGCCTCAGACTGTCCCTCAGACCTTGTGGGGGGCCAGTCTATTTTGGGGGGGGGGGAATGAACGAATTCCTATGCCCCACAAATAACCCAGAGATGCATTTTAAATAAAAGGGCACATTCTACTCAAGTAAAAACATGCTGATTCCTCGACCGTCCACGGGCCAAACTGAGAAGGCGATTGGGCCAGATCCGGCCCCTGGGCCTTAGTTTGCCTACCCATGGTCTAATCTTTCTCCCCACCATGGAGCTACCCATCCCTCCATGCTCCTCTTTCTTTGTGGGCTGGCAAGTGATGGGCCAGGACATCACACCCTCAGAGAACTAGATTGGTCTCGGCCCATGCCATGTAATAGTCGACCTTCAGTATCCCAGAACCTGCAGAGAAGTCTGCATAACTCCTGTGAAATGGACACAACCTCATTACATGTATTAGCAGTTTAATGCCGTTTTTATTGCCCATGGCTTCTTGTAAGGCATCCCAAGTCTTTTATTTCATTTTGCAGGGGTCGCTGAGAAACCTGCTGGCAATCTCCTTCCTTTTTTCCAGAGCTACAGTTCCCATGGTTCCCAGGGGAGAGGAAATACCCGTTAAGTCATTTTTAGTCTGTGTGTAGATATGCCTCCATCAGATAGGAATTCAAAGACCTGATTCTAGGAAACGGATGTCAAGATCCTTCTCATTTGTATCTTCTCTGTGTTCTTTGTTCTTGTATCAGATGTGAGGAAATTAAATTCTAGCTATGTCAACCACAGTACTAGGACTTTGCAGGAAAAAGTCAAAGCGTAGAGTCACGCTACGTGCTGAGATGGGACGTGGCGAAGATCACGCCTCGAGGAAAGCCTGTTATTAAAATGATTTGGCTGATGTTGGGGGTAGAAGGAATCAAGTTGGCTGTAATTGAACTGGCATGAAATAATAAATATGCACACTTTCTTCAAACACAGCTTGCCACATCCTGAGAATCTGGAATCAATTCCTTCTCTTTCAAGATGCTTAAAAGTTGTGGAACTTTGATATGGAAGAAATGTGTTTGCTTCTGGGCTTACAGCCCCAACCAGCCTGCTGCAAACCTTTCATATGTTCAAGGCAGGAAAGCTAGCCAAACAAATGGGAGAAAAGGACCAAAAGCGCAGGGGGTGCTGATATAAATTACTATTCAGGTAAAGTGAGCAAAAGACATTTGCCACTGCCATAGATATATAACCTGCCCAGAATACGAAGGAGAGAGGAAGGGCTGGAACTCAGTGCATGTGGAAGGTCCCAAGCTCAATCTCAGGTATCTCCAGGTAGAGATGGAAACATCCCCTGCCCCAAACACTGGAGTGGAGTCACCAGTGAGTGTGGTTGGTTGTATATTTCAGGTTCTAGACCACCGCAATAAAGCAAATATCGCTATAAAGCGCATCACACAATTATCACTATAAAGCGCATCGCACACACTATTTCGTTTCCCTGTGGATATAAAAGTCACTAAACTGCAGACTGTTAAGCCCTCATCTGGCTCTTGCCCTGGCCAGCTCCACTCCTGTGGCCAGAGGAGGGGTGGGGCTTCCTTTCCCTGGAAGCGGCCAGGCTGCCGGCAGATGCATCCTTCTCCTCGTAAGGAGCAATAAAATGAGGTATCTAAGGAAACAAGCCTTTTCTAAGTTCAAAAAACAACAAGCATTAATGAGCTAGGTGGGCAGTGTTCTGAGGCAGTTCCCTGTGTACCTGTGAGGTGTGTGTGATGCATGTCTTCTACAGTTCACAACCTTCTTCTGAATATTCAGGCTATTTCCTTTAATGCCTAAGGTGGGGAACCTGTGGCCTCCAACTCCTGACATGAGTAGCACTAGGAAAGGGTGCAAGTCATAGCCCAGCAGCACCTGGGGGCCACACTCTCCCCATCCCTGATCTGTACATTTCATAATGGCCAGCAGAGAGCAATACAACCCTCCTCCCAAACAAACGTCTCTGCAGACTTGACTCAAGTGGTCTATGCTCAGAGTTGTTTTAAGTTTTTAAGCAGCCTCTGTCAGCTACACTTCTGATTAGGGACCCGGTGAGACAGTCTTTAACCCTTTCCCCTGCAGAGTGCTCCCATTCCCAGCACCCACAAAGGATGGGGATGTACTGGAAGAGTATCCTCACCACCCACGAACTTACTCGCATTGTCCTGCTGCTTTGTGTTTTTGATAAACGCAGAGAATTTGGAGAAGATATCTATGCCTGCAGCATTTGATTCACGGTGCTTGGCAGCTAGCTTGGGATACCTGCAAAAACAGAAGAGTGGTTTTAAAAAGGAGGCCTCTGCGGAAATTTAAAAGCAAAGAAATTGCACACAAATACCACAAAAAGGCATATGTTGCTCACTTCTAGTGCTGTTTGTAACACAAAGCAAAATTCTTGCAGATCAAGTACTGCTTTTAAAACTGTCTCTTATCTCAGCATGTCAGCCTCTCAGGACCCTAACTGAACACTGCTGCCACCGTGGGGAGCCAAGAATTTTAAAAAGTTACACAATGATGGTTTTATGACAAGGTTAATTGTACCGGGGCTTAATGTGAAAGGAACCGAGAAACAGCATCCTTAAATCAGAACTAGTCATATGTTTTCAAAAGATGCAGAGGCGTTTGGCAGCAACAGCTGCTTCTCTTCACTGTGTGAACGGTGGCCTTTGGAGAAAACCATTCCAGGATATAATGGCACTTATAAAGAGGGACTTGGCGAAAAGGAGTCTATACGGAGCTGAAATGCAAGAATGAGTCCATGCGGGCTGCTGAAAAGTGTATTGTGCTTCTTGGAAAGGTTTCTGTTTTCTGTGAGTCGGGACCTCAAGGGGTCCGTCCAATCAAAATGCCTTCCTGCAGCAATAATGAAACACCACGGCCGTGTAACAGCCCTGGGCAACCCGTGACCCTGAAGCGAAAAGCTGCTTACTAGCCTCAGCGCCAGGGCTGGGCACAACCCCCTCGACTAGCACCACTTCCACCCTGTAGCAATGGGCAAGGAGACCTTCTGTGAGCTGGCAAAGGGGGCCCGCAAAGACCACAGCACCGTCGGGCAGGGCGTTGCTTACCATTTGATGAGCCCCCCAGGCTGCTTCCCCACAGGCACACGCCTCTTTCACTTTAAACAACAGCAAGCTGCTCTGCTCAGTAGCAGGTAGTTAAGGTTGGTGCTGGGACTGATGCTATATTTACAGTGGTACCTCGGGTTACAGATGCTTCAGGTTACAGACTCCGCTAACCCAGAAATAGTACCTCGGGTTAAGAACTTTGCTTCAGGATGGGAACAGAAATTGTGCCGCGGCGGCAGCAGGAGGCCCCATTAGCTAAAGTGGTACCTCAGGTTAGGAATAGTTTCAGGTTAAGAAGGGACCTCCAGAAAGAATTAAGTACTTAACCTGAGGTACTACTGTATATGGCACGGTTCCCAGACACGCTGTACCAAAAAGAAGATGGCTGTCTCCCTGGCTATTTTAAAAAACAATTTTAAAAGTGACCGGCAGCCAGCTGCAGAGCACAGCGCCTTGTCCACACTTATTTTTTTTTCCTTATGGGTGAGGAGGAAGGCCACCCAGCCCCCTCGTCAAATTGTAACCACCCCCCAAGCAGAACGTTCTCCCCCTGCCTTGCAACCTCCCCACACATCCATTGCCCTCCACCCCCCTTTATGGGATGTTTTAGCCAGCCCATCAGAACCTCTGCACGTTTGGGTCTGCCCTACCTTGAAGCAACAACCCCGGAGGGAGGCGTCAAGGACCTGACGAACCTCAACACAATGCTGGCAAGCTGGGTTCAGTTTAGTGGATCACATGTTGGGCAAACCTGCTACAGAAGGTGAGGCCATCCCATAGTATTCCCTCCTCTTGTTACACTGCATACAAAGCGGGGCAGGCAGGGAGTCCTGCAACCCAGAGTCATACAAATTATATTTACAGGTACAAGGATTTAGTACAGGCTTCCTCAACCTCAGCCCTCCAGATGTTTTTGGCCTACAACTCCCATGATCCCTAGCTAGCAGGACCAGTGGTCAGGGATGCTGGGATTGTAGTCTCAAAACATCTGGAGGGCCGAGGTTGTGGAAGCCTGATTTAGTACAACAACTTAAGTGCTGCATTTAAGAAGTTTGCGGGATGGGAAATGGGGAGAGAGGAAAGAACAAATTGTGGGCTATACAAGGGGGGGGGGGGGTTCATGAAATCAGGTCCCATGGTTAAAAGTCCTTAGCTCATGCTCAAATTAGTACCAGAGGAGGCGGAGAGGCAAGTTTTAGAAATATGTATTTTTCTAGGTTGACTAGCTAAGAGGCAAGCAGGCTCATTGTAACACAAAGCAGATATCAATTTGCCCTTTACTTTTACCCATTTTATGCGGTAACTACACTATAATTCTAAAAAAACTCTTATTTTTTACTTTGGAGGTGAAAGCATTTCCTCCAAAAATTCTTCAATTTTGTTGATATCTGTCTTGACTTCCCCATTGAACGTCAGGAATGGTGGGTGGCTCCCAGGAGCTAAATTATGTAAATCAGCTGGCTTTCTGTGGAAACAAAAAGAAAGTTCAATAAATTACTAATCATATATGCCATGGAAGTCCCATTGGTTTTGTACTACTGAGAAAATTAGCCCTTTGCTTTTTAAGCTACATATAGGATATACAGGCCTCTCTCCATTTATGCAAGGGTTGTACGCCAAGGCAAACGCAGTGCCTGCATCGGCGGTTGCTCATGTGCAAATGGGGAGTTGCCTGTACTTAAAGAGTGCAGAATAATAAGCAAAGTAGGATTCGCTGTCTGTATGAGAAATATTAAAGTTCCCAACAGAAAATCCAAATAAAGTGATCAGAAGGAATATCAAGTTGTTGGGAGAATTCATCAGGAGCTTTCAGGTGAGGTGTCATCAGTATGTGGATGACATTCAGCTCTGCTTCTCTGTTCCATCTGAGGTGAGAGAAGAAAGGGGTCCTGCTCTTGATGGGGTTGCCCTCCCTTGAAGGAGCAGGTGCATAGCAGAGCCAGCTCCCACACGTGAAGCTCAGGGGGCTTCAGTGGCCAGGAGTGCTGGTTTCCAGCTCTAACAGGTTCACCAGCTACTGCCATTTGTGGTCAGAAATAAGTGTGGTCACCGTAACCCATGCTCTAGTGACCTCCAGATCAGACTACTGTAACGCGTTCTATGTGGGACTGCCCTTGAAGACGGTTTGAAAACTGCAGCTGGAACTTATTGCAGTGGCCAGAATGTTAACTGGTATGGCCAACTGGATGACACTGGTCTTGAAAGAATTGCACTGTTTGCAAATATGCTCCAAGCCCAACTCAAGGTTTTGGTGTTAACATACAAAGCCCTAAGTGACTTAAGAGTACAGCTCTCTGAAGAACATCTCCTCCCTCACAGACCTGCCCATGCATTAAGACCAGCTAAGAGAGCTCTGCTGCTGCTCCCTCCACCAGGTGAGAGGGCTTCCCGGGTGGCAAAGCCCCATTTAATAACAATAGCAATAAATTTGTTATTTATATGCCACCCATCTGACTGGGTTGCCCCAGCCACTATTAAAATGCAAGAAAACATCAACCATTACAAACTTCCCTGGAATGACCTCTCCTCTGAGGTGGTGCTGTTAAGTTTTTGCTGGCAGAGCAATAGTCTGCCAGTCAGTTCTGGTTCAGCGGGCTTTAAATGCTGATAATTTTATGGTTCATGGTTTTTGTGGCTGTTCATACTGTCTTTAAATCCAATTTTACCCAGGTGTAGAACCATTTGGTGAAAGGCAGGCTTATTATAATTCTTATAAATAAACACAAGAAAACCCGAACGCCATTGTATCTCATCAAATATTTTTTATCAAGATCCTTTACCTCTTCAGGTCAACTGTGGTGACATTGAACACAACCCCTTTGAGCCAAAGTATCATGAAGAGACGCTGTGAAAAAGGGCAGTTCCCAATGCTTTCACCATCTACACCAGCCTAGAGGAAATAAGAAATAGAGAAGAAAATTATCTGGAGGTGTATTTTTCCTATCACTGCAAGCATCACAATGCCAGTTTGAGTCCACCCAAAATCCTTGTCAAGTTCTTCCAAGCTGCTGATTCCATCTCCATCCACCTCCTACCAGCTCAGCTCCACTTTGTTCCCAGACTTCTCATACTTTGTTTTTCAGGGCCAAACTGGACATGGCAGCTTTGAGTCTTCTTTTTCTTTAAATAATTACATGGCGGGTGCCATTCTTACTGGGAAGGCAACACACAAGGGTGAGAGACTTATCTTTTCCCTCTCCCACTGCAAACACAGATTGTTTTGGGAGTATGGGGCTCCTGTGCTTCCTCCCTTGGCTTCCCTACACAGTTGGGAACTACAGCAGAACCTGCACAACTTGTGACCCTGCCAGGTGAAGGTCGCCCACCAGCCACATACGCAGTTTGCCAGTTGCTTGGCAGCCGAGTCTGCAGTCCTGGGCAAGTCTCCAGACGTAGACCAAGGCCAGTGAAGTGAATTTGGCTCTGCATGTTGTGCAGGCCGAGCTATAGAAGTCCCCCAGGACTCTTAAACACATGTATTTGTGTCTCCTTAAGAAAATCAGCTTTCCTGGCCCTCCCAAAGGTTTCTCATCTCAACATAATCTTCTCCATAGCTTTCACTAAGTCTCTTCTTCACAGGGATCTGGCCTTCCCTGCCATCCCACCAACCCACCAACAAATCTGAGCAACTTTTTCTGATTAAATGCTTCCAATTCAAAACCAAGGTTAAACACTTATCATAGTGTTAAGTAGCAGTTCGTGCAATTGGAACAACTTTGATTTGTGCAAGAGGACACTTCTCCTCTCTCCCCGCCCCCAGCAGATTTGGAAATGGTACCAAATAAGCACAGTAAGAAGGAAGGGAAGTCTCACTGCACAAGCAGATGTCGTTTTGCTTGCACATTAATTTAGTTGAATACTACCCAGTTGCTTGGAAATTGAACTACTGTTATGGGAGATGTGGCAAATTAACATCGTCAGATGATAAAAAGAGCACAGTATTTTTCACTGAAGTACAGCTACAAATGTAAGAGAAGTTTCTGGAAATGAGATGCTATAATTTGTTTGTTTGTTTATTTGTTTATTAAATGGTCTCAAGGCCCCTTGCAGCCATATTGTGAATACAATACAGTAAAACAGCAATAAAACACCAAGTTAAAACACAAAAAGCCAGGTGCATAAAACATGAATAATACCAATATAACAAGGAGCTAAAACTTACTGCAAGATAATTTCAACTGAGTTTATGTAAAATAGAAAGCTATCCACATCTGGAATTCAAATTTCTCTTTAAAATCTATAGACTGGGATCAGTAATCTGGTTATGCCTGTAGCCTCATAAATGTTGGTGACCCTCAGCCAAATTTCCATACCTCTAAGCACAAAATTCAGCTAGCAAAAAATAATGGCAGTCAGGTGCTGAAAGTTAACCCTGAAAATGTAACTGGAGATAAGCTTGAATTATTTATTGAAATTCCATTACATTACTTGCCGTATTAGAAGCCGGGTGAATCTGCAGCTAGTGCAAATACTGAGCAAGAACCTTTTGCTCGTGGGAGAAACAAGCATAGACTCTGGCACTCCAGTCCAAAACATTTCCTGAGAAATATGTCCAACTGATTTCAATGGGATTTACATCCAAGTAATATCTTTAAGATTGAAGCCTAAGAGTGCATGCCTATAAAGATGAACTGGCTGGGGGAATATAGGATTCCTATTGTGTGGGTGGCACTTGAGAGACCCCCCACCACCACTGGAGATACACGGGAGCACATCTGCACTGGTGGCCAGAGATGTGGATGGAGCAGAGGAGGAGGAGGAGATTTGCCCCAGATCTTACACCCACCTTGGCTATGAGTCCTGGAAGATCTCCTCCCTGCCTTGCTGGCTTGGGCAGGGGCTGCCCTGACTGACTCCAGCTACAAAGGCTGAGGTCACTCAACACAATCTTGGGCTCGGGTGTTGCTGGTGGGGTGGGTGTGTTTGAGGAGGGGGTGTTGCTGTTATTGATATTAATTTTTAGTATGTTATGATTTATGTGGAAATTGTTCAGTCTGGTTGTGTACTTTTTGATGTTTTATTTATTGTTTATGGCTAGTTGTGTTTTGAAATGCATTTTTTCCCTTGTTATAAGCCACCCTGAGCATGGTTTTGACTGTGGGAACGCGGCACACAAATAAAATGATGGCTGCATGTATGTACACTCCCCTTGAGCTCCTGACCACACCACCACAGGTCAGGCAAAAGGCACATTTCACTCACTGAGCTCAATGGAGCAAGGGTGGAAACAGTTCTGAAAACCCACTGCCCCATCTCCCCTCATTGTCACCATGACAAAGCAGGGTTTGGCACAATTCTGGACGCAGTCCTAGCCAGTGGGGCAGCTGTCTGAGGCCTGTGCCATGAAGGTCAGCAAATGGTTAGTTATTTAATTTAGTCTTGTGGTTGTAGTTTTACTCCCACAGAGAAGTCTCATGGGATTTTCTGCCTCAGGAGCCAAAATAACTTGGGTGCTGTGTCCAGGCAGGGGTTGTCTTTTGCTATCCTATTTCTAGCAACATGGAAGCCTCACCATGAGGCCATCCCTCGCAGGAGAGGCTGTGCAGCAGGAGGCTATGTCACACAGGCCCCACATCATGCTCCCTTAGAGGATGGCCAAACCTTTGCACACAACAGCCCTCAGGCATTCTATGAATCCAGAACTATTACACATGAGGGAGAGGGTGCAGAAACAAGCACTCCAGCTGTCATCCCCATCACCCTTGCGACTGTCTGAAGGAGCTCATGGAGGCTCCTTCAGGAAAATCAGGATTCCAGTTGGTAGCGTGTACACAGCCTAAGTGTGTCTTAGGTAAAGGGATCCCTGACCATTAAGTCCAGCCATGGACGACTCTGGGGTTGTGGCGCTCATCTCGCTTTACTGGCCGAGGGAGCTGTTTGTCCACAGACAGCTTCCAGGTCATGTCGCCAGCATGACTAAGCCGCTTCTGGTGAACCAGAGCAGAGCACGGAAACACCGTTTACCTTCCCACCAGAGCGGTACCTATCTATCTACTTGCACTTTGATGTGCTTTCAAACTGCTAGGTTGGCAGGAGCTGGGACTGAGCGATGGGAGCTCACCCCGTCGCGGGGATTCGAATCACCGACCTTCTGATCAGCAAGTCCTAGGCTCTGTGGTTTAGACATGAAAGAAGTGTGCATGCACATGAAAGCTCATACCAATAACAAACTTAGTTGGGCTCTAAGGTGCTACTGGAAGGAATTTTTTTATTTTGTTTCACCCAAAAGGAAAGCAATGCCCAACCTGGTGATAACAGAATAAATGATGGAAGGAGGGAGCTGCAGCCCAAGATACGAAAAGAGGTAGTAAGGAAACACCTCGCTACTTTAAATAAATTCAAATCTCCAGGGCCTGATAAGCTGCATCCAAGGGTACTAAAGGAGCTTGTGGATGTAATGTCAGAGACTTTGTCTATGATCTTTGAAAATTCTTGTAGAACAAGTGAGGTTCTGCAGACTGGAGGCAGGCAAGTGTTGTCTCCATCTTCAAAAGGGGGGGGGGAGAGAAGACCCAGGTACCTATGGACCGGTGAGCTTGACACTGATACCAGGGTAGATCCTAGAACAGATAATTCAATAGTCGGTCTGTGAGCATTTAGAAAAGGATGCTGTGATTACCAAGACTCAGCATGGGTGTCTCAAAAATAAGTTATGCCAGACCAGGGGTTGTCAACCTGGTCCCTACTGCCCACTAGTGGGTGTTTCAGGATTCTGGGTGGGCGGTAGGGGGTTCTACGCCACAAGCTGAATCCGCCTTCCATCGAGCGCTGGGGGGCGGTAAATAAATTCTACCATCAAGAAAGATGCATTAGTGGGTGGTAGGTATAAAAAGGTTGACTACCCCTGTGCTAGACAAATCTCATTTCTTTTTTTGATAGAGTCACCAGCTTCATTGATCAGGGGAATGCTGTGGACATAGTGATTTCAGTAAGGCTTTTGACAAAAATTTGCATTATATTCTTGCAAGGAAGCTGATAAAATGTGGGTTGAATGAGGTAACTTTAAGGTGGATTTGTAGCTGATTGACTGACCAAACCCAAAGAGGACTCATTAATGGTTCCTAGTCATCATGGGGGAAAGTGACATGTGGGGTGCTGCAGGGACCGTAGTCCTGGGCCCATTGTTGCTCAACATCTTTATAAAAGACTTGGACGAAGGAATTGAGGGAATGCTCATCAAATTTGCAGATGATCCCAAACTGGGAGGGGTAGTTAATGCCACAGAAGACAGAATCACGATTCAACCCTAACAGGTTGGAGAACTAGGCCCAAACTAACAAAATGAATTTCAATAGGCACCAAGGTCAGGTTCTGCACTTCAGCAGGAAGAACCAGCTACATAAATATAAGACAGGGGGCAGCTGGCTTACAGAGCTATTAGTTGGCTTACTAGTAGTACATGTGAAAGGGATCTAAGGGTCTTGGTGGACCACAAGCCTAACATGAGTCAACAGTGTGATGCAAGAGCAAAAAAAAAGCTAAAGCTATTCTAGGCTGCATCTACAGAAGTCTAGTGTCCAGATCAAAGGAAGTAATAATACCACTCTATTCTGCCTTGGTCAGACCAAACCTGGAGTCCTGTGTCCAGTTCTGGGCACCACAGTTTAAGAATGATATTGACAAGCTGGAACATGCACAGAGGGCGGCAACCAAGATAGTCACAGGTCTGGAAACCAAGACTTACGAGGAAAGGTTGAAGGAGCTGGGTATGTTTAGCCTGGAAAGGAGGCGACTGAGACGATGTATGATAGCCATCTTAAAATATCTTAAGGGCTGTCACGTGTAAGATGGAGCAAGCTTGTTTTCTCCTGCTCTGGAGTGTAGGACTTGAACCAAGGGCTTCAAGTTACAAGGAAGGAGATTCCAATTAAAAATCATTAAGAACTTTCTGGCAGTAAGAGCTTTTAGACAGTGGACGGTCTCCCTTGGGAGGTTGTGGACTCCCTTGGAGGTTTTAAAGCAGAGGTTGGATGGCCATCTGTCATGGATGCTTGAGCTGAGATTCCTGCATTGCAGGGGGGTGGACTAGATGACCCTGGGGTCCCTTCCAATTCTATGATTCTGTGATTCTCCTCCTTCCTCTTCCAGAAATGACATTTTGTGTTGGGACAGAAGTTGGTGGAAAACTAATTTCTTTTACTCAGCTAGTGTTTGCTTGAAGCCAAAGCTTAGTAGAATAGAGAATAGGCAGATATACAGTGAGAGGTAAAAGATGTTGACCATGCAATGATCAGGAGATGATGTTCTGAAAAGAAAGTAGAGATTAATAAAAATACTGAAACTCGCTTTCCTGGGGCTCCCACAACTGTGAGAATTTTCTACAGTGCAGCTCTTTTCTATTCAGGTGTCAAATGATCAGCCACTATGACTAAAACACCAAATGAACCCAGTTTGCATAATAATCTCTAACAATGGCTCATTACAACAGACAGAGGGGGGAATATTTATTCTTTTGATATGCATCCACATCTGTGTGAAGTAATCTGCCCTTTCAGCAGCAAAAAGGAAAACATTCGCACCACATGCCTGTTGTCCATCACAAAAGGAACAGGGAACTAGAAAAACAGGGGCAAACAATAGCAGCATTTCCGGCCAAGGCCAACCTCTAGGGAGGAATGCAGCCCTGCTTACAATGCACAGGTAAGGGCAGATGGACCCCCAAGAAGCACACTCCATTACTCTCTTCTCCTGTAGTTTCCATTTGTCATCTAATAGTCCATCATCTCCTTGGCCACTTTCAGCTTCTGATAAAGTGGCATATTTGTACGTGTATAAGACAATGGTTTTTTGCTTAAAAAAATTAGTCAAAAATGAGGGTTGTCTTATATACGGATGGTGAATGCTCCAATCATCACACTTACCACTAAATATACTGGTGCTCATTAGCATAAGAAGGCAGGGTGTGTGTGTGTGTGTGTGCGCGCGTGGCGCGTGGGCTGCAGGGCATGGAGCCACTGTCCTTCCAGAACTTTGGGCGATCTCAGTTGTTTGTGGGGCCTGCTCTGTTGCTGCCCACTTGTGCACACACACAACCCGCCTCAGGCGCCTTGCAGGGGCTGCTACGCCTGTGCCAGTGCTTTGAATATTTAGTAAAATATAAAAGTTGTTCTGTGGATGTTTAAAAATATTAATTTCTTAATTTTGGGTTTACAAAAATAGGGGTCGTCTCATACATGGGAAAATGCGGTAAACTCAACTGTTGTTCTGAATGCTCACTGGGGCAAGTTTGTTTGAGCATATTGCACTGATCCTGTCCTGACTGCACTGACTGCCCATTACAGTGGTACCTCGGGTTACAGACTCTTCAGGTTACAGACTCCTCTAACCCAGAAATAGTACCTCGGGTTAAGAACTTTGCTTCAGGATGAGAACAGAAATTGTGCTCTGGCAGTGTGGGGATAGTGGGGGGCCCCATTAGTGAAAATGGTGCCTCAGGTTAAGAACACTTTCAGGTTAAGAATGGACCTCCAGAACGAATTAAGTTCTTAACCCGAGGTACCACTGTAGTTTCCGGCCCACTTCAAAGGGCTGGTTTTAATGGTCCTCTTTAACTAGGCCTTTGGCTGATAAGTTTTGCAGAGTTTCATCACAGGGACACTCCTTGCTCTTCCTGGAGGTGTCAGGGATCACATCTGGGACCTTTTGTATGAAATGAACTATGGTACTTCCCCATAAACAATAAATAAATGCACTGGATTCCCATGGAGTCCTTGCAAGATATATCATTCATTACCAGCTGTCATCACAGTAAAAGGAACTTTGTTAATTGCACAGTATATATCAATACAGTGCAGAGCAGTGTTGAAAGTTGTAACTCCAGAAGAAATACGGTTTACAACAATGGATTCAAAAATGAAGGTTTTGCTGTTGGCAATTACACTTATTTCCGAAATACCGCTAGAGAAGTCACTGCCACAGTGTATCCTTGCTTAATTTTTGAAAGAAGAGGTGCTGATCAATCCTGCTGCAGCCTTCCAAATCTCATCCTGAAGATCCATCTCTTGTCCCAAGCCCACATCCCCAGCATGTTCACATTCTTGTCTCAGCGATGCCAGTGCTGCTTTGGTCATGTCCTTTGAATGGGGAACTGGCTTCAGGCACCAGGCCTCTTGGCAGGCCGACTCTGAGCCACAGCCACTGCCCAGCCAAAGGAATGCACACAGCAGATAGCCAAAAGGGGACACTTCCAGTCATTCCTATGGCTCCAAACACCCCTCCTCAATACACACACACACGTCGAGCATCTAGGCAGCTATTCCCGGGTCTGCGCTCTAGGGAGCAGTTGCAGCAACAGGGGGCCACTTCCCCTCCACCAGTTTATGTATCTGCCGCAGACAGGCTGTGTGCACTTAGCCAGAGACTACCCCTGCATGGAAGTTCCCTCTGCTCTTCCCCTTTCAATCCCCTCCTGGTTCTGGGAGACAGTGGTGCAATAGAGGGTGGGGAAGCACCCAGCCCTTCCCTTGCCTGACTTGCCTCTTCCTCCTCTTCTTCTGACCCATCCTGGGCTCCATCCTCCAACTCTGAAGCTTCCCCTGCCTCTCTTTTGCCTCCTGGCTAGTACAGGTACCCACAATTCCCTGGCCCCCTCGCCCAAGTCAGACTCCAGCCCCCCTTCCCCCAGGGCACACTTGCTAGCATCCTGCTAGCCCTGCACACCCTGTATTGCAAAAATGTCTGCAAACGTGACATGAAGGCTGGGAACATGAGCCCTGTCATGTGGGAATTCCTTGCAGATTACGACAGCGTCTGCAAAATCAGGTCTGCCAAACATACTACACTATAGCAATAAAACAGCAATGTTTTCTATCAGTTATTTATTTTTTTTAGTGAAAAGTGCATGTTAAGAAGCAACGTTCTCCCCTGGCATATTTGCCGAACTGGAATTTCATGCTCCCTCACTTGAAGCCAAAGGAAACATTTGCCATTTACTTCAGAGTAGTCCACTCACCAAATGACTATACCATGCAATTGTCTACCAAACTGACCGTGACCGTGAACTTCCTATCATGAGAAAGAGCGCTTTCTGCTGACCTTCTGCAAAATCCCTCCAGTATATTTTTGGGATGCAATGTCAAATGATCCCTGTGACATTTACTGTTGTGGAATGACCTCTGCCTTCTCCTTAGCCTCATACAGTTCCAGGAGCTTCACTTCCATCACAGCATCATGACACAAAAACCGGCACTACAGTTTAGAAGCATGCAGATAGCAGGGACACAGACACCGTGCAAGCACAAGTGTGCACAGAAAAAGTAAAATTGCTGGAAACTATTGTGAATGATTGCAGCAATTGCAATAGTAGGATGGAACCTCTCTGAAATATACTCAGAGTCACAAAGTGATTTCATGCTCTTTATTCAGCTCATAGTGGTGAGGAGGAATGAATGAAAGTCCCCTCACAGTATCTGCTTTATATACATTATTTACACAATGGGCTGCACATGATTGGTTAATTCCGGAATTCTACTGTAAGCCAATCAGGTTGTGGATTCACTTCTATCTGGAGCATGATTGGGTGGTTCCTGCCAACCAATCATACTGCTGCATTGTTCTAGGAACAATCAGACTGCTGCGTTTTGGATCCTATTGTTCTAGGACCAATCAGACTGCTGCAGTTTGGATCCTATTGTTCTAGGACCAATCAGACTGCTGCCTTTTGGATCCTATTGTTCTAGGACCAATCAGACTGCTGCAGTTTGGATCCTATTCAACTCAGTACATAACACTCTCCATGTCTTGAAACCTTTGCATCCAAAGCCAAATACCTGGCCCTTTGCACTACTACAGTCAAACCTCGGTTGCTGAATGAAATCCGTTCCGGAGGACTGTTCGACTTCTGAAACATTTGACAACCGAGGATCAAAGTGCGGTCGGCAAAGTCAATGGAGAAAAAAGAAAAAACTCCCGGAAGCCATTCAGCTTCCGAAAATCATTCAAAAACTGGAGCAGTTACTTCTGGGTTTTCGGCGTTCAGGAGCCAAAACGTACGACAACGGAGATGTTCGGGAGCCGAGGTTTGACTGTGTAATTCTCACTACAAGAAAACAACCAAGAGATTGCCTGGATTAAAGTCTTCTGAATGTCTCCTGCTAGGGATGCCAGTTCCCCGTCCAGTGATGCTGCTTCACAGGTCAGCACCCTGAGGCTTGAAAAGTAAACTGCTGCTGAGCCTCCTCCATCATTCTTTCTCTAGTCCCCTTGTAAAGCCTTCCCTTCCGTCTGCTCCGGCCAGCAAGACTTTATTAATTTGGTTGAATTATACACCAAAAAGAATGACCAAAGTGGTCTATAAATATTGCACTGGAGACCTGTATATTTAGGCAAGAGAGGAAGGCTAGCGGCAAAACAGGCACTCAGTGGATTTGTAACTGGCTGACTGATCGAACCCAAAGGGTGCTCATCAATGGTTCCTCTTCATCCTGGAGAAGAGTGACTAGTGGGGTGCCACAGGGTTCTGTCTTGGGCCCGGTCTTATTCAACATCTTTATCAACGACTTGGATGATGGACTCAAGGGCATCCTGATCAAATTTGCAGATGACACCAAACTGGGAGGGGTGGCTAACACCCCAGAGGACAGGATCACACTTCAAAACGACCTTGACAGATTAGAGAACTGGGCCAAAACAAACAAGATGAATTTTAACAGGGAGAAATGTAAAGTATTGCACTTGGGAAAAAAAATGAGAGGCACAAATACAAGATGGGGGACACCTGGCTTGAGAGCAGTACATGTGAAAAGGATCTAGGAGTCTTGGTTGACCACAAACTTGACATGAGCCAACAGTGTGACGCGGCAGCTAAAAAGCCAATGCAGTTCTGGGCTGCATCAATAGGAGTATAGCATCTAGATCAAGGGAAGTAATAGTGCCACTGTATTCTGCTCTGGTCAGACCTCACCTGGAGTACTGTGTCCAGTTCTGGGCACCACAGTTCAAGAAGGACACTGACAAACTGGAACGTGTCCAGAGGAGGGCAACCAAAAAGGTCAAAGGCCTGGAAACGATGCCTTATGAGGAACGGCTAAGGGAGCTGGGCATGTTTAGCCTGGAGAAGAGGAGGTTAAGGGGTGATATGATAGCCATGTTCCAATATATAAAAGGATGTCACATAGAGGAGGGAGAAAGGTTGTTTTCTGCTGCTCCAGAGAAGCGGACACGGAGCAATGGATCCAAACTACAAGAAAGAAGATTCCACCTAAACATTAGGAAGAACTTCCTGACAGTAAGAGCTGTTTGACAGTGGAATTTGCTGCCAAGGAGTGTGGTGGAGTCTCCTTCTTTGGAGGTCTTTAAGCAGAGGCTTGACAACCATATGTCAGGAGTGCTCTGATGGTGTTTCCTGCTTGGCAGGGGGTTGGACTCGATGGCCCTTGTGGTCTCTTCCAACTCTATGATTCTATGATTCTATGAAATAAGATTTAGGGCAGATAGAGATACAAGGAGAGTTAGGGGACAGCAAGAACAAGGACGGGGTTTCAAGTGGGCAGATCATGTACTCTGTGTGCAGAAGGTCTCTGGTTCAGTCACTTGCTTCTTCAGTTAAAAGATAACAGGAAGCAAAGCTACAAAAAACCAGCGCCTGAGATCTTAAATAGCCACAGCCTGTAACCATTACTGGGTTAGAAGGACCAAAGGACTCATTGAGATGACTTTTAAATGTTCAGTTCTCAGGCCAAAAGTAAAACTACAACCTTGGTTAACTAAAATTACAAGCCCATTGACATAATAAACTTAAGTAAAAGTAATAATAATGACTTAACTGGTAGGTTAAATGAGAGCATTACCAGTGAAAGAGTTTCAGGTATAAAGATTTAAGAGATAGAAATGTGGGGAAATGACTTTGTTGGGGAGAGAAAAATCATTAGACAAGGATGGGATGTTGAATGATCGGCTAACCAATTTAGCTCAAGATAGTGAAACTACAAGGTACAGAAATTTCAGATTCTATTTCTCAATGGAAACAATTTTTTTGTAATGGGCCAAATATCTATCTATGCATTACTTTAAAAGAGAATTTCCACATTATTTTGTATTGTTTGATGCATGACTCTACTAAAACTGGCAAACCACACATATTCAAATCAGCAATATTTGTTGGAAATGAGGGGAAGATGTGCTGTTTTCATTCAAAACAACTGGATATTACACACCTATTCATTCCCTCTATATTTTATTGCTTTTATTAAAGCAGTTATAATTAGCAAAAAATTAGAGTTGGTAGGAAGTGTTTTAACAGCAACGGAAATAATAGCCTCTTTAGGCATCTCCAAACGGGGGGGGGGGGGCACAATCAGTCACTGGGGGCTAGAGCCAGAGGACACAGGCTGGCAGAGTGGCAGGTCCAAGGTTAATGAGCATCGTGAAGATTTGAACCTGAGTCTCCCTTGGTCCTGGACTCTAACCACTAGACCAGCCTCCCCCACCCTTCTTCCCTCCAGAAGTTGTGAGACTTCAACTTCCATCAGCCCCAGGCAGCGAGGGCAATTGTTAGGGGCGACATCTGGGGGGCACTGAAGTGCCTTGTCTCTAAGCGTACACTTCAGAAGTAAGCCACACGCTTAACGTAAGAGCACAAGAAGAGCACTGCTGGACCAGGCCATGAAGTCCAGCACACGGTGGCCAACCAGACGCCCACAAGTGCAGCAACACTCTTCCCACTTGGGATTCCCAACAACCAGCCTGCAGAGGCTTCTGAAAGAGGAGGTGAAACAGTCACAACGAAATGCAGCCACTGGGAGTTTGTTCCTCCACTGGGAGAGGGGCTTGTCAAGTAAAAGAGGCTTGTGAACTCTGGTGTATACAACTTCAGAATGGGGGCATGTCTGTAAAATGTGTGGCACATCAATCGAAAGAAAGCTCGATATCCCTGTCCTGTGGCCTGCAGATGGCTTGAAAGCATCCCTTACACAAGCCCATGTTTCTGCAGTACCAGGGGAGCAGCAAGAGCAATTTCTGCTGGGCTCCTACAAATATCTTTCAGAATGCTTTTAGAATTTGTGGGCCACAAATTGTGCAGGCCTTTTATATGCCATTTAAAAGCCAAATGTTAGGAACATTGTTACTGACTTTTGCTTTAGCACCAGCTGCCCATAACCCAACAGTTTCTAACATTACAAAAGGAGCAATTCTGTTTTCACACCATAGTAAAATGTCAATGCCTCATAGGAAAGGCTAAATGCATCCCATATGAAGGGACCATTATCTTTCTCGAACGTAGCAGTAAGAAGCTGCTCTTTAAAATACATGGCCAATTTCTCCCAACTTCAAATTTTAAAGATGCCTCTTTACCAATTTGCTTGCAATTCATAGCTTCTTCATACATTTCCAAGTCTCCCTCTCTCCTGAATCTGTCCTGAATCTCACAACATTCTGCTTCATCGGATGGCCCTGAGTTTTCCCATGCCATGTTTACAAGTGTTTTGCTTCATAGTGAGAACCCCCGGCAATGCAGGAATCTCCATAAAGCATCCATGGCCATCCAACCTGTTTAAAAACCTCCAAGGAAGGAGAGCCCACCACTTTCTGAGGGAGTCTGTTCCTCTGTCAAATGACTCTTACCATCAGAAAGTTATTCCTGGTGTTTAGTCAGCATTTCCTGTCTTGTAACTTGAAGCCATTGGTTTGAGTCCTACCTTCTAGAGCAGGAGAAAGCAAGCTTGCTCTATCTTCCTTGTGGCAGCCCTTGAGATACTTGGAAGATTGCTCTCATGCCACTTCTCAGTCTCCGCTTATCCAGACTAAACCTGTGCAATTCCCTCAACCATTACTCATCAAGCCCTTGATCATCTTGGTCGCTCTCCCCTAAATACGTTCCAGCTTGCCAATATCCTTCTTAAATGGTGGGACCCAGAACAGGACCCAGTATTCCAGGTGTGATCTGACCAAGGCAGAATAGAGTGGGACTATTACTTACCTTCATCAAGACAATAGACTTCTGTTGATGCAGCCTAGAATAGCATTAGCTTTCTTTCTTTCTTTCTTTCTTTCTTTCTTTTTGCTGCTGTATCACACTGTTGACTCATGTTAAGCCTGTGGTCCACCAAGATCCCTAGATACTTTTCACATGTACAGCTAGTAAGCCAAGTGTACCCCATTTTATATTTATGCATCTGGTTCTTCCTGCCTACGTGCAGAACCTGACATTTGTCCCTATTGAAATTCATTTTGTTAGCTTGGACCCATTTCTCCAATCTGTTAAGATCATTTTGCATTCTGATTCTGTCTTCTGCAGCATTAGCAACCCTTCTCAGTTTGGTGTCATCTGCAAATTGGATGAGCATCTCCACAATTCTTTCATCCACGTCATTTATAAAGACGTTGAACAACAATGGCCCCATAACAGAACCTTGCGGCACTTCACTGGTCACTTTTTCTAGGATGACAAGGAACCATTCATGGGTACAGTGGTACCTTGGTTCTCGAATGGCTTGGCTCCCGAACAAATCGGCTTCCGAACACTGCAAACCCGGAAGTAAGTGTTCCGGTTTGTGAATGTTTTTGGGAAGCTGAATGTCCGATGCGGCTTCCACAGCTTCCGATTGAGTCCAAGAAGCTCCTGCAGCCAATCAGAAGCCGTGCCTTGGTTTTCGAACAGTTCCGGGAGTCGAACGAACTCCTGGAATAGATTAAGTTCGACAACCAAGGTACCATTGTACTCTTTGGGTTTGGTCAGTTAACCAGCTACCGGTACAAATCCACCTAACAGTTACCTTGTCCAGCCTGCATTTTAGCAGCTTTTCTGCAATAATACAATGGGGGACTTTGTCATAATAGCCTTAATATACAATTGTACAGATCTGTCTCCCAAACTAGGTGGATTATTTTACTATTGTTTCTGCCAAAACATTCTCCATTCATACAAAATATCTAGATAAGTGTATATGAGAATTTCCACGAATGATGTTTAAAGCACCTTTCAGCATCACTTGCACTATGAATCATAACATGTATTTGCAGTGCTTCTTTTCTAGAAAAAACGTTGCTGGTACTCACCATTATCCTCTCCCCCCACCCCCTTTCCTCTCACACACTGATGGATGGGGCAATTAAAAAGAACCTATTTTAAATAGGGCTGATGAGCTGAAATGCCTCCCCAAACTTAGCCATGCTTCCCCCCTGCTGCCATCATGGGAGATGCTCCAAACCTACCACCAGCAGTGACTGCTCTCCTCAGCGTCTCAGTAGCAGGAGGCAACCCTCATTTTTTCTTTCCAGCAGACTACAGAATGAGGACAGGAAGTATTCTCCCTTCACTCTGGAGGCTGCTGGGAAGAAAACAAAATGGTGTTTTCCATTGCTTTTCATCTAGAAAAAGAAGGTGCCAATACTGCTTACCCCTGAGTACCCTCAGAAAAAGGCACTGGTGTTTTCCCAGGCTCATCGGGCTCCAGGAACAGCAGCACCCCCAGGCCCACAAAACATGCCACTGTGGAAAAAATAGGCCATGGAGCGTGCACGGTTTTGATCCTCCCTTAACACCACCAGTTGGAGACAGAAGAACTTCTGCCTCGGCCCTAATTTTATATCAGTTACAGATTTGCACTCACACTGCAGAGACAGGAAACTGTGGGTGCAATCCTATACCCCAGATTTATTTTCATTCCATGCCATCCTTCCTCCCAAACAGGAGCTCAGGATAGTGTACTGTAATGTATTTAAAACACCATTACAAAATGTTTCACAATAACAAAATTAAAAATGCATCAATTCTTAAAAACTACAGTGTCAAATTTACAGTTGCTGGATCCCCAATACATTTAATTCTCAAAAGACCCAAGTGAATAAAAAGATCTTAAGTGGCTCTTGAAGAATAGTAGGGAAATGAGGGGGACCAGCCATATTTCCCCAGGAAGGGGGTCCAAAGTCTCAGTGCTAGCTGGGTGGCAGCCCTGCTATAAAACCCCCCTCTAGAGAAGCCCCCACCAGCAGAAATGCCCTGGTGCCAGGTCACACTATGGACCACCAGGCCAAGCCAGAGCAGTCAGAACATGCCAGGATGAGGGTCAACGTGAGCCAATTCCTGTATTTCACCAGACCTTGGTCCTGCCCCAATTCTTGGCATGACATTACACTGATTTTGGATGTGGTAAAGGTAAAAAACTCAATAGTGCTACCCGCTGCCTCCTCCCCTGCCCAGGCTGTCAGGAGTCAGACAAACTCTAAAACCAACCAAAGCCCATCAACAGCAGGACGGAGCGCATGGCATGAGCCCATCTCTCTCTGGCCTCTCACTTGCACACTGAGCACGCAAGGGGAGACTTGGGGGGGGGCCACCAGGAGGGCCCTGGACAGAAGCAGCCTGGTCTCGTGACATACAGTGGTACCTCAGGTTAAGAACTTAATTCCTTCTGGAGGTCCGTTCTTAACCTGAAACTGTTCTTAACCTGAGGTACCACTTTAGCTAATGGGGCCTCCCGCTGCCACTGCACCGCCGGAGCACAATTTCTGTTCTCATCCTGAAGCAAAGTTCTTAACCCAAGGTACTATTTCTGGGTTAGCGGAGTCCGTAACCTGAAGCGTCTGTAACCCGAGGTACCACTGTACCTATAAGAGCATATTGATAACATTTCTCTTTCCAGAATGCTTATGGATACCTTGTATCCAACACAGTGAAACACCCCCCCCCCCGTTCCTATAAGTGGTGGGTCAAAGAAAAATCACCCCACACAGGTATGCAAGGGAAGAGGGGGAGCTATGCCACAAAGCAGAACTGCTGCAGATGTGTCCCCCTTCCTTTGCCATATGTGAAAACTGTGCCCTGCCCCCAACAGCTGGGACTGGGGTCTCCCAGGCAGCAGACACAAGGTTAAGCAGGTGCTCTCACCTGCGGGTAAATAACAGCACCTCCCCTCCTGCCATTGCAACGACTGGAGACATTTGCTTTGGGCCCACAGAACAGAGCAGAGCAGTCCCAAGACACACTTCACCTTCTTCAGGGAAGGCTCCAAGGGAGGAAGGCTGAGGCAGGGAAACTGAAAGAGCACACAAGCAGCAGCACTCTCTACCAAACCCCGGCACGTGCATCCAGAAGGAGACACCATGTGCTGCAGCCACTGCTGGTTGCTTTCTGATGCTGCCTTCCTGCTCTCCCTTTGCTCTCCACAGGGCCCTGGAAAAGGGGCAGCACCACTTGCCCAGACCACATGGGAGCACACAGTTTGACCAGTAGCATTTCCTGCTATTTCTCCACAAGGATGCCAGCCTACTCATCTCTGCAGGCCCCGTGACTGCAAGCTGTGTGACAAGTGCAACCCTACTCAGCGTGGAGACGGAGGGTGAGGAACATGCCGCTCCTATCTGCAGGCAGGTGTCTTGTGTCTGCTGCTTATCAAGCTGAGCGGCTTGAGGAACGTCTGCTCTTCTACCTGCCTGAGGTACATGTAGTGACTTAACATGTGTGGAAATATTTCACGTATAAAAAGCCACAAAAGCTTTCATTTTGTCCCAGTCAGTAGCATTTTCAGTGAAGTTCACACAAGTGGAACCAAGCTATGACCAAAACACTCGAGCAGTGTGAACTGGTTCCACACAATAACAAAATCTGCCTATATTTTTACTTCTCCATGGACAATGGTAACACTGCAAATATATATTGAAGGGGAGAGGGTTCACAGAATTCTTCACATGCAGATGTGTGCGGTGCCAAAGGGGTTTCTGGGACGAGACCCTCCCTCCTGTTTCCTCAGAGGGACACGTTCTCTCTCACACTAATACAGAATTCAAAAGATGGAAGCAAGGCTCTTTGTGGCATGCCTAGCCCACGCGAATGAGGAGATTGTGGCACCGTAGACAACAAAGACTAGCGCAGTAAGCAGGAAGGAAGGCAAACAACAGCACACAAGAGAACAAGCAAGAGAACAGAAGCACAAAACTGAAACACCTCCAAGGGAACACCGAGCTGTCAGAGTCAGCCCTGCCAGGAGCAGCAGGAGAGTTCAGTGCATTCAGTGGAAGCCCAGCTGACAAGAGAGTTAAAGCATTTCCATGTCTCACCTACCTTTACAAAGAGCTCGATTTCAGGGTCCTTTCCTTCTCCATTTGCAGGAGATGAGTCTGTCATTTTTTACCCCCCCCCCCCAGCTAGGAGGTGTTCTGCTTACACCACAAAGCAATAAAGGTTCCAGCTCCACAACAGCTATGCTTACTTTTATAATAAGGGGGAAAAGAGAAGCCTTGCGATGCTTTCTTCCCCTCCTCTAAACCATCTCTTTGCTGTTTCTGAAACTTCTGTTAGCAGAGAAAATAAATTTCCTAGCTGAGAATTTTCAAAAACGGGGAGAGGACTTATCAGAAGACTCTGCTACGGTTTAATGCTTCACAGGAGCAACAAGTGCTAACTGTGCTGCGTTGTGTTTCAGAGTGCTCATCTGTCAGAGCTCTGGCTCACACAGCCAGCCCAAAATAGCCCCGTGCCAGAGAAGAGGGTGGAGTTAGCTCACAGGAGAGCAGAGAGCTATTGGTACCTCAGGACAAATAGTTTCTTCTCAGCATTATATGGAAATCCATCCCCCATGTGTTTCCCTCTGCCCCAGCTTTTACAAAATGATATCAGAGTGTTTCCTTAAATCTCAATGTTATCTTCCAAAGCATATTATTTCCATTACACACATTTCGAGGGGACCTAAAGACGTGCACCCCAAGGTTCCTGCCGACGCTGCTCATTTTGCTGGCTCACAGAGCTAAAAACAAAACATGTCATTCTCTGCCTTTCATTCATTCTCCTATTCAGAGGCAGGCTGCAGAGAGGGTCTCTGCAAGCTCATAGAGTAATGTGACATATGCATAAAATACAATGCAGCAGAGAAGAGAAGACCATTTGGGGAACAAAAAATGTGTGTATGAAGTGGGGAGTGGGAAGGTGGGCAAGGAATCTTCCTGCAGTTTTTTGTCTTACATTTTGAGATCGAAGCTTTCAAAACTGCACTGATATATTGATTTCTTAGAATTCTCAAGCGGTGGTGGGAAGAGGCTGCAAGCCATTTATATTGCATATTACTAGTTGAACTTTATTTAGCAATAAGAGCATAATCCATCTTTTTTAGGTATTACATTTCAACTATAATGTCCCCCCCCCTATACTGTTCTTACTTCATCCTGTGTTCTGCATTTTTACAGAAAAACAACTGGAATGTATCAATTGGTTATTCCCATTCATTTAAAGCAGGGATGGATGACCTGCAGTCCTCTGGGTGTATGCATATGAAAAATATAGCTTGAGACTCTTAATCTCCGGGTTGTCTGTTTGAGCCCTATGCTGAAAAATTCCTGCATTGTGGGGGGTTAGGCTAGATGACCCTCATGTTCCCTTCCAATGCTGCAGTTCTGTGGATCTATGATCCCCGTCTCACACAGTCTTCCTTCAAAGGGTTATAATTCAATGAATGATGACACCACGCTGGTTAAGCTCTGCCTCCTCCCTCAGGTTTGAAGTCACAGGGAAGCTTCCAGGCCCCGCACTTAGACCTCTTCCTCAACACCTGGAGAGCCGTGTGGACAGGCAGCAAGAAGTGGAAGAGGGACCAGGGCCAGAGACAAGGAGACAAGGAGACAAGTGCAAAGTACAAACCTGCCGAATGAGAACTCTACCTAGAAGTCCCGTCAGTGAGCCTGTTCTGATCAACACACGGTGCTCTTCCAGCCCCTGACCTTCTCTGTCACCTGCTCTGGGTATGTCAACGCAGAGCTCATCTGAACTGCGGCTGAACAAATCTGAACTATGTTTCACTGCCATGGCTTCTAACAAGAACAACAAAATCCCAATAAGAGAAGCGTGGGGGACAAAATGCTCCTGCGGGGCATCAGTTTCTTTTGGAAAGACTTTTAATTTAACAGTAATGCTCATTTGGAAGGTGTTGTTGTTGGAATGCCAGGAGTTATCTAAAGGCCATAATGAAACGCCAGGATCCTCCCTCCACAGAGGCTTAATAGAAACAGCGATCAAGTGCCTCAAGAAGGCCATTTGTGCCACAGTTAACTCGGAAGAAAGTCCCACCTGTTTCAACAGAGCTTGAGCAGGCCAGGCTTTCTTCCCAGAGGGGGGTCTGGCCTCCAACCCCACCTTTAAAAAAACCACCACCTTTTCTTGAGTGCAGCTTTTCCTACAGCGCTATGTTGCAAACTATAGCTCTGCTCAGTTGGTCTAATAGGCTCTGTTAACTGTTTTAACTGGCCCTGTCAATGTTGCTGCTTTTGTTAGTTTTGGTTATTTAAGATTATTGTATTCACGGTGCTTTTACAATATTGTGAGTTGCCATGGGAAGGCTGTGCACCCAAAAGCAGCACATAAATAATTGTATAAATGAATACAAAGTATTAAAAAATTACTTTCAAGTTATACTTAACACCACATATTAACAGCTCAATCATAACTATGTTTACACATATATTTTGTTTACTTCCAAATAATTTAACATCATTTGTCTGTTCAGTTTTGTGCATTGGAGGAGGGCTTGAATGGAAGTTTTCCTGAATTTTGCCAATAAGAGTTTTTATCAACAGTATCTCTTAGAGTGATGAATGGCACTATTTAGTGGGAAGAAAGTCCAATGAAAATCCTCATTTTACATGGCTGTTTATTTGTATATATTCTAAACATTTATCTATGGATGTTTTATGATAACCTATATTTGTATTGCCTAATAAAGGTTTGGTGTAGAAGAATAATTTTGCCAATGTGGAGGCACCTGAGGCACCCCCCCCCCCCGAAGCCTGCCCTCTTCCCTTGTCAAACTGAAACCCATTTTAACTAGAGCTATGCAGACCCCCACTAAGAAATATTCCTAACCTTGTTGAAACTCTTTTGGCTTACATCAAAAAACTCAATTAGTCTGAGTAGGAACTTCCTAATTTATGTTAACATTTTTGCTTCAGGTGCTTTCAGGTGTGTTGTTTTCATTAATCTGTAAGCCACTCTGGGAGTACTTCTAGCTGAAGAATAGGGTAAAATTGCTTTGAATGACGTCTGGTGACAACTCTTAATTGGAACTAACATCCAAATCTTAGCTCTTTTGTCCCATTTTTGCTATCCCAACTCCCTTGTGATGTACACAACACTTCCTAGACAGCCCTGACCGGTCTATGAAGATGGCCTAAGTGTCTTCATATTACATCCATGAATCACTTAAATGTCAGCTAAACTTAAGAGCAACAGTTTATTTATACAGTCAAACCTCAGTTCCTGAACAGCTCCGTTTTCAAACATTTCGGCTCCCAAATGCCGAAAACCCGGAAGTAAATGCTCTGGTTTTGAACATTTTTTGGAAGCTGAACATCCGACGCGGCTTCCGCTTGAGCGCAGGAAGCTCTTGCAACCAACTGGAAGCCACGCCTTGGTTGTCAAACGCTTTGGAAGCTGAATGGGCTTCTGGAACTGTTTACGTTCGACAACCAAGGCTTGACTGTATCCAACTCTTCTACTGAAGAGCAGCATAGAATATAATAATAAAGCCAAATAATGTAATAATTAAAAATGCAATGCAGCAATTTCTAAAAGCAATAGCAAGATACAGTTAACCCTTAAAACAAAGTAAAACACAAGCCTAGGGGCAGCAAGTGTAAAATATGTTAAAGACATTAAAAATTGCAACAAATAACCCAAGGAGTTACTCATTAAGCAGCCAAGATGGACAAGGGTCAAAGGGATGAAACTTCGGTCACATCTGTCTTATTGGTGACCATTTTTTCTTTTGATAATGCATTCAGAATAATCTGCTAAGAAACAAATATTAGTGCACGCTCATCTTACTGCATGAGAAAAGGCTGGTGAGCAAGGCCAGTTAGTTATTATACCAATCCAGGTTTCAGATTACACAATATAAATGAATATAAACTCAGCTCCACAAGGGCTTCGGCATTTGCCCTTATGAAGTATACAGCAGAATATGATCATGTCACCACATTAATAAAACAGGAAGGCTGCTCAAGAAATGGAATAATCACATTCTGTGCAAGAAAACTTCATTGTACTTCATCTTTAAGGTGTGATCATCTTTCATAGGCCTGAGCTAAGTACGACTTCACAGCAAAGACTTTTGATAAGGTGAGCGCAAGGCCAAGCATAAAGCACATCACTGCACAACAAAATTCTTTTTTTAAAAAAGAACAACAACCTTTAGCTTGGGGGTGCTACACAAAGGGTGCAAAGAGCCCATCAGCATCTCTGCTGCGTTGCCCCGTGGAAGAGGGAAAGGAGGCGAGGCGACTGCTTCTTCTCCCTGCTCATTAGCTTGGGGAGAGCAGCTGGAGAGGCAACCACAGCAAAGAGTGGCCCTGCCAAGGTTGGCAGGGGGCCCTGGCAGGGCCATGTGGACCCCTTTCTTCCTGGAGCCCATTCACCAAGCGGCAGCTCAGCAAGGGAGCAGGGAGCCGTGGAGGGAGCCTGGTCAGCTATATATCTTCTCACAGAGAACAGATAGGAAAGCTGCAGTGAAAGAAGCCCTTGGCCAGTTGTTAAAAACAAGGCCAAGGGCTGGTTATCATGCAATGGTCACTATGGGGAAACCAGATTAAATGACCAGCTCCACTTAGTGCTTGCTGTACCATCAAGAAAACTATTAAAGCTTTTCAGCAGTTGCGTAACTACTACCTAAAGTCCTGTATATGCTGAAGTGAGCATAGCCCTCCCCCCAATTCACCTGTATCTGCACATTTTAAAAAAATTCTCTCTTTAGAAAGTTACCACTCTCTGCTTCCAAGCTGTTCTATGTAAAACAAGCCTCAGTGCTACCTATTCATCATAATGGAGATGCTAAAGGAGGCTTCTCCCTTTGGGGCCAAAGTGCATGAAATGCACACACAGAAGCCCCTTCAGAATGGATTAAACCCATCCAAGTCTTCAAGTGCAGGGCACCTTTATAGGGTTTTTTAAAGTAAAACTAAAGTCTATATAACTTTTTGGGTTTTTTGGCAGAATTTGGGTGCAATTCACACATATAGTCACCCCTTCTGAGGGGATGAAGCCTGCCCAATTTCAACAAAAGGAAAGAAAGGGGGGAAATCTCACCTCTCAAGCCTCTCAGAAGCTCGTTTGTCTGTAAATGCCTTGTTAGCAGCAAAACTTGCCTAGCAAATATTTAGAGTTTTCCATTTCTCCTTGTAACTTGGGGCACACACAGACCTCCTAATATATGCAAGGGCTCTCCATTCTCTACTATGAACATAGCTGTCAACTTTTCCCTTTTCTTGTGAGGAATCCTATTCGGAATAAGGGAATTTCCTTTTAAAAAGGGGGAACGTTGACAGCTATGACTATGAAGGAGAAAAACACTCTGCCTGTGTGGACAGAGCCCCTGCTCATGTGAATCTCAGTATATATGAGGCCTTATGAGGAACAGTTGAAGGAGCTGGGTATGCTTGGTCTGGAAAAGAGGAGACTGAGAGGAGATATGAGAGCCATCTTCAGGTATCTCAAGGGCTGTCCCATGGAGGAGGGAGCAGGCTTGTTTTCTCCTGCTCTGGAGGGCAGGACTCAAAGCAATGGCTGCAAGTTACAAGAAAGGAGGTTGCAACTAAACATCAGGAAGAACTTTCTGACAGTAAGAGCTGTTGGACAGTGGAGCAGCCTCCCTCGCGAGGCAGTTGACTCTCCTTCATGGAGGTATTTAAGCAGAAGCTGGATGGCCATCTCTCATGGATGCTTTAGCTGAGATTCCTGCATTGCAGGGGGGTGGACTAGATGATCCTGGGGGTCCCTTCCAACTCTACGGTTCTATGATTCTATGATATATAGAAGCCACAAGATTGTAGTTCATGTATTGGCAAACCTACTAATGTGATTATTTAGAACCTAACTGTATACACATGCATTTAAATAGCACTGCAGCAAGTCTTCATTTCACTCCTGCTGTTTCCTGTTACAGCTTCCAGAGGGCACTATTTTGCTGTTTTATACCAGTGGCCAAAAAACCTGAATGAATGAAAAGGAAAAGAAACCTGATGACAAACTTTGCAAATCTTTCATATAATATGGGCTGGTGGTTTACCTGCAGCAGGGATGTATTATTTTGGATTGAATGCTCTCTTGACTGAATGCTCCCCCAAACACCCGCCAGGAAGGATCCACCTAGAAAACTGGATGTTAAGGGTAGGGATACAGAGTTTTATTTGGAAAGTGTGTGCAAAAGGAAGTCTGGATGAGCCTCTAGTTAAAAATGGTTTGGGCACAGAAGTACATTTCCACACCTGAGTTCATCTTCTTCTTCTGAAACTCCCCATGTTAAGGGCTGGTACTAAAAGCACAGAAGAAATCTGAACCCAGCAGGATGCCAGGCATATAGTGCCAGTCCTATCATAGAAGAAGAAGAAGAAGAAGAAGAAGAAGAAGAAGAAGAAGAAGAAGAAGTTTATTTATACCCCGCCCTCCCTGGCTCAGGGCAGCTAACACCAATGAAGTTACAATAAAACGTAATAGGAAGAAAAGGGAAAAAACAGTTAATTAAAATATGGGTTAAAATACAATTTAACCACCTTGCAGCTCGGGACCTCCAGAGTGTTGTTCTTTGTGGACCTTAAGGTCCTCTGCGGGGCCCGTGGGAATGACTGCCATTGAAAAAGAGAAGCTACCCCACTAGGCAATCGGCTCCATGACACACGGCTGCACTAATCCGCATAGCAGTAGAGATCTGGCTGATGGACACGGCAATCTTGGACTGCAGCCTGTGAGTCAGAAGCTCCATTGCATTCTCTTACGTACATTTGCTACATTGAAGCCTCTGGCTTGCGCCAATCCCAGTCAGCGCAAGTATCACATGACCATCGACATCCATGCAGATCAGAAATGGTCATCTCCTGCTTCTTTCACAATTCCTTCCAGCACAGATCCAACAGAGTGAGAAGAGTCAGTGTGCAGGGTCCTATAAAAGAGGACTCATTGACCAAGTATGGATCCTCTGGTGGCCAAAATAGAATCAACCATACAGAAGAAGAAGAGGGACCAGTAGCCTTTGGAGAACTGGGGTGTTTGCAGAAGCACAGCAGGGAAAGCCCTGCCAAGGAGGGAAACCCCTGACTGCCCAGTAAGGACTGAGCATGCTCAGTGAGCATGACGAGCTCAGGGGTTTGACTGGCATTGTGCTGGCAGTGCGGCATACCTTCCATAAATGAATAATATCCTGACTGCTGACCTAGTGAGGAGTATCACTCTCTTGCTCTCCTTCGAGATCTGCTGCCCTTATTCATTTTTAATGTCACACCTTGATACTTTTGTGCTAAAGTTTCCACAAACTTTGCCAGTCTAATTAGTCCTTTTTTCACATATCATTTTAAAGCAATCTGAAACCATGGTTCCCTAACTCCAACCCCCCATGTGGACCACTTGAAAACCATTGAGGGCCTTGGTGGACCACTTAATGCTTTTTCTGACTGTTGTAGCAATTGTGAGGGACTGTGGCCGCGTTTGTATGTCCAAATCATGGCTTAACAATAACTCATGAACCTGCTGGCTCCAAAGGAAGAGGAGACTGCAGGCACTCTGCTCCTCACTGAGCCTTTTAGGTGAAGCAGCTAAGTCAAGGTTTGGCTTAGTATGCAGTTTGACCCCAGGATTGTGGTGAAGGTCCCATCAACTGGAGCCAAGATAAGAGGTCATGGTTAAGGAGGAGAGAGCTTAAACGTGAGCCGAAGGTTTGGACACTACAAGTTCCTCTCTGGGAGTCAGCACAGTCATTTGTTCTCAGGAAGTGAGTGACACGGGAAAGAGGCCTTTCACACAGGCCAGTTAGTGCAGAGCCCTTTAGCTTCAGGCAGGAATAACAGGTTTCTACTGTCAAGGCTGAGCCACCGGCAGCAGTCCGAGATTAGCCAGAGGTTGGAAACCGAAAGCCAGCAGTCAGGATGGAAGAGGAACTTGCAGGACGACAGGAAGGCCCTGTTGCTCAATCACAACTCAACGGGAACAGGAGAGCTTTCCTGTGCAGGAGGGTCCAGTGGCCAGTCTGCAGCACACTGCTTGCCACAAAGACCAGCTGTCCACCAATCCCCACGGCCCCTGGCATCCCCAGAGCTGGAAGGTGGAGGCAGTTGAGGCCTGCCCAAAATGGGATGGATGCAGTTCCAGCGTGGGCTCATCACTCCTGGGTGCATCCTGACATGAAGTAAGCACAATGCAACGGGCAATATGTTTGAAAAAGCACCTTTCAGTGCTCAGACAACTGCGCTCACATGAGGTGGACAGCAGCCCCAGGCTCACTGGCCGGCCTCCTCTGTCACAGCCCCATTGACCGGGTCCTGTTTTGGAGTGGATGCTCCGAAGTAGGCAGACAGAGGGACTCCCCACATGGTGGAGAACCCTGACAAGGGCGCAGAATCACACAGGAAGCCTCAGCGTGCACAGCAGGCTCCCTTCTGCAGAGCTTTACACACACACCATGTGGGGGGTGGAGCGGGGGGCGAGGAAGGAGAGGATGGGGTGACACACCAAGGCCAGCAAGTGAAGCCTCATGCTTCCTCTCGTGTGAGTGTCATCGCAGGAGCACCGAATGCCTGAATAAGTTCCCTGATTTGCTGTGCTTGGAGCTTTTATACTCTTGCTATTCTTAGATATTATCAAGTATCGAGCACACAGCCAATCAGCTCTTGAGGCCTGAAAGAAACTTTGCCCCCTGCTCAACTGTTTTTCAGAGCCAGCGGAGAAAGGAGCCAAAGAAAAGGCTTTATTGCTACAGTCGTCAGTAATTAGACCTATCATGGACACCAGCTGAATCAACAGCAATGCAATGTTCAGAGGAATGAATATGTGAAATTAATTGCTCTTATCGGAGGAATTAGTTGCTTCTGATCAAACTGCTGCATGCTTTGCTGCCATCTCAGTGTGCTTCACGTTTATGAGAAGGAAGGATATAGCACCTCAAAATGGCAGTGAAAACAATGAAGCAGCCATTTAAAGAATACTTTATGCTGAATGAGCATAGTTCCTCAGAACTTTCAATGTTTCTTCTGAGTAAGCAATTACACAGTCAAGACTTGGTTATGTATATGGCATTTATTGACCTGACTAAGGACTTCGACACTGTAAATTGCCCTGCCCTGTGGACTGTCCTTCTGAAAACTGGCTGCCCAGATAAATTTGTGAACATCATTCAGCTCCTCCATGATAATATGACAGCAACAATCGCAGATAACAATGCCTCCCGACATTGAAGGGCAGAGAGTTTGAGGAGGGAAATCAAAATGCTTGTTTACAAAGCTATTGTACTACCAACCTTACTGTATGCTTGTGAAACATGGACCACTTATAAACACAATCTCCAGCTCCTCAAAAGATTCCATCAATGGTGTCTCCAAAATTTTTTTACACATCACTTGGGAAGACAGGCAAACTAATGCCAGTGTACTGGAAGAAGCAAAGATCACCAGTGTCGAAGCAATGAATCTTCAGTATCAACTTTGTTGGACTGGTCATAATGTTCGGATGCCTGACTATCGTCTTCCAAAGCAACTATTCCCAGCTTAAGAATGAAAAGCGTAATACTGGTGGTCAACAAAAGAGGTTTAAAGACTCTCTCAAGGCAATTCTAAAAAAAAAAGGAGTAGTATAAACACTGGGAAACACTGGCCTGCAAGTGCTCCAATTGGAGAAGAGCCTTTGCCAAAGGTGTCATGGGCTTTGAAGATGCTCGAACGCAGGATGAAAAGGAGAAACGTGCTAAGAGGAAGGCATGTTTGGCAAACCCTCACCACAATCAACTCCCACCCAGAAACCTATGTCCCCACTGTGGAAGGATGTGTGGATTCAGAATTGGCCCTCACAGTCACTTATGGACTCACTGTTAAAACCATGTTCATGGAAGACAATCTTACTCGACTAAGTAAGCATCTAGATCAAGGGAAGTAATAGTGCCACTGTATTCTGCTCTGGTCAGACCTCACCTGGAGTACTGTGTCCAGTTCTGGGCACCACAGTTCAAGAAGGACACTGACAAACTGGAACGGGTCCAGAGGAGGGCAACCAAAATGGTCAAAGGCCTGGAAACGATGCCTTATGAGGAACGGCTAAGGGAGCTGGGCATGTTTAGCCTGGAGAAGAGGAGGTTAAGGGGTGATATGATAGCCATGTTCCAATATATAAAAGGATGTCACATAGAGGAGGGAGAAAGGTTGTTTTCTGCTGCTCCAGAGAAGCGGACACGGAGCAATGGATTCAAACTACAAGAAAGAAGATTCCACCTAAACATTAGGAAGAACTTCCTGACAGTAAGAGCTGTTCGACAGTGGAATTTGCTGCCAAGGAGTGTGGTGGAGTCTCCTTCTTTGGAGGTCTTTAAGCAGAGGCTTGACAACCATATGTCAGGAGTGCTCTGATGGTGTTTCCTGCTTGGCAGGGGGTTGGACTCGATGGCCCTTGTGGTCTCTTCCAACTCTATGATTCTATGATTCTATGATTCTATGACTACAAGTGATCGCCAAAGAAGAAGACTGTTGCAAAACTCTTGTTCAGGCAGAAACAATGCGGCAGTGCTGCAATGCTCTTAATATGCATGCAGCTTAATGTAAACAACCCACCATAAGCAATTTTTACTATTTTTATAATACCTACCCTGGCTCAATATACAAACTTGTGGCTCACAATTAAAAGTGGTCATACCATCATAAAATATGATATGCGAAAGAGCAGGTGAGAGAAAATGTAAGGTCTGATCCGCAAGGATAGAGAGATTTGCGAATCACTTGATTTTGTGTATAAAACACACCCCATGGAAACCTTTGTTCATTCTCTGCAAGTTCAGACATGCCACAAACACTCAGAAACTATTTGTTAGCTTTGTGGGTTTCTCCCGAAACAGTCTTTGTAAAGCAAACTAGTGTGATATGAGACTGTGTGTGAGACACAGTGTTAAAATTATGGAACCATAAATCAAGTCAGCTAAAAATGGCCATTAAATGGCCAGGCTTATATTGTGGGGGGGGGGATGTTCACAGGGGCATCCTTCGCACCCTCAACAACTGGTATCATTGGTATCATAGGCTGCAATCCTACATTCAGGGAGTAAGCACCAATGAACAGAGCAGAAGTTACTGCCAAGTAAACATGCATAGGCTTCGCATGCAAATATCTGTATATCAAGGTCCATCAATGTTGATTGCCTAGTGAGTTTTCTCCTTGTAAAATGTATCTTTCACTATCCTGTTTTATTAGGGAAGTACACCAGACTGGTACTAGAGAGTAGCACTGGGAGACTTCTGTTTGACCCCCTCCCCCCATGGCAGTTGATTTATGGATCCTTCAGGGCTCTATTCTGTCCCCAATGCTACTTAACAACTATATGAAGCTACTGAGTGAGGTCAATAGTGCCATTATTATTTGAGAATCGTTAAACTGCTGTTTCTATTGCACTTTAATGATGTTTCTGTGTTTTAAGAGCTTGGTTTTATGGAATTTTATTGTTTCCCGTTCTGATCTGTGGATGTTTGGTAGCATATAAATATGCTAAATAAATAAAATAACTTTGAAAGTAAACATTGCTAATCACTACATATAAAATATTTAAAAGTGTATCTCAGGTATGTGCATGTGATGCCCACAGAACTTTCAGGGATATTCTGTAATGATTGGTGTGAATTAGCATTTGCATTATTATCTCTTAGGTGCTCTGCCAATATTATCATATCTGTTCAGTAGTGCCGAGAGCACTCTTATCGGCTACAAAATAAAAATGCATTTTCTGTCAGAGTGGCACTGGGAGCTGCCAACACGCCAGTTAGCTAATGAGCACAGTGCATCTCCCAGGAAGCATTCACAAGGCAGGACCCTCAAAACTCTCCAGGCCAGGGCGCATGGCTTTCAGATGTTGGACAGAGCTCACTGGTGGTGGTGTTTTCCCCTTGCTGGGGAAGCAGCATCACCCCTTAAGGCTCCATCACTCTGTCCCCATTAAGTACACAAATGGACAGCAGTGCGACAGGTAGGTGCTGTTGTCTTTATTTATTTTACATTTCATGAACAATCCTAGCTTAGGTTCCCCTAACACTTTTTATCATTAGTAAACACAATAGGCATGCTTTAAAGCTATTTTTTCTGTTAGTATTCATTTTCCTTTCAGTAAAGAAGTAAGGGAGCAATCCAAATCAGATCAAGCAGGATGTGTGGAGTTAGGAACAGGCACATCTCCAGTTGGGCTCAGAAGGGGCTCATCCGGATGAAGTTCTACATCCTCAGCCATAGATGCATCGGTATAAGTCCTCCTTCCAGCAAAGCAGGCTGAGCCGAGGGCAGGATAAATGCTGAAAAGGGGGCATGGATGGGATGGGGCAGACAGACCCCTGTTCCAAACTTTGTTCAGCTTGGTCACACGATCTAGCAACCCAGCAGAAGGCGCACTGGCAAACGAGTGGTGTCTAAAGGCTTGCTTTCCCTCTGCTAGGCTTAGCGACAGGGCTGGCCCTCCCATAAGGCAAGGTGAGGCAACTGCCTCAGGCGGCAGGAATCACAGGGGCGACACAGCTGGCCTCCAATGAATGCATTGCCTGCTGCAGAATGTTCTTTGGCGCCCAGATCTGCTGCCTCCTTGCCATCCTTGCCCCCAATGCCATCTTCCCAGCAGCCTCTCCGTGAATAGGAGCTGCTGTGGGTCTCCTTCCACCACTAGGCAAGAAAAGGCAGGGGCTGCCCTCCGGGGTCTCCTGGGGTCTGCACCTGCCCAGCACGATTCAGAGAGCCCCCCCCCCATGGCTTTGATTCCCACGTCAGCTGTCAGCTAAGGCTTATTTGATTCCCTGCTTGCTCCCAATGTAGATCTTTACTCCCTCCTCCTTCCCTGCTGAGGGAAGCCAAAGCCATTTTGTCATTTGTCTCGGGTGCCAAAATGTATTGGGCCAGCCCTGCTCAGCAGCAGCCCTTCTCCTGAATGAAGTTTGAAGTTGCATCATTTACCCCAGTGTAATCCACTGAAAAGAATTTCCTATAGTTTGGATTACTCTGTTATATGTGATATATGCACCAATGGATCCTGCCCCTGCAAGTGTTACGTGGTAATCTACCTAGTGTTCAAAGGAGGGAGAACAGGATTCCTTGCACATTCTGTCTTCTGATAGAGAGAAGGCTCTTCATCAGGGATCTGTGGAGTGTTTTGCCCATTCCCTCACCATGAATGATTGCAACAGAGGCATCACTGAGGAAGCCAGCACAGCCCATGGCTTCTCAATTCATGCACAATGGCACAAAAGCACTTCTCCCCAGACACCAGGCAAACATAGCAAAGTACAAGCTTTTTTCAAGAGAGCATTATGTCAGAAAAGTGACCCTGGAAATAGCCATGAAAGAGCAGAGGGACAGTCTGAAATCACACAGGTACAGTTTTACGGCTGAAGCCAATCAGGTCTGACTGTGCAAACTGCCTGGACAGAAGACTGCCTGAAACCCCTCTTCAAGCCGGGCTGAGCAATTCACAAGGACAAATCATGCACATTAATAGAACTAATAACTACTACATAATTTGAAGTTATACTGTAGGAAAGCACGAGCTCTAAAGTGTGTTATTTTCTTCTGCAAAGCACAAGTCCGCCAATAGCTCAAATATGATCACAATTATTATGGTAGTTTACAGGTTGATCAAATGTCCAAACCAGTTAGCAATGGGCAATTTTTGAGTAGCTTGCTTTTGAGTTACAAAAAGATTTCATCAGACAAAACAGCAAAGAAACAAGCAAATCTAATACAGACATTCTCCCCTCCCCCCGTGTCCGCCCCCCCCACCCACCCCCAGTTAGGGAAATCTTAGTCTCATTCACATAATTGTGTATATACTTGGAAAAAGAACCTACCTTAATGATGAGGGAAAGCTGAAGGTCCTCTTTCTGAAAGTTGTTTTCTTCTGAATTATTATTGCCGGGCAATCTGATGGTATTTTGAGCATTTCTGGCCATGCTGTGGATCTTCTTTAGAATGTGATCGGTTGAAGACGCTTCATTTGCAGAGGGGCTTCTTTTGTCACTTTGTGTTGGGCTAAGCAGCTGCATCTCCTCCTGATGTTGCTGACCTTCCAGAGCAAAAATCTCTCTCTGAAAGGAATTTCGTTCTTCTTTCCCATTGCAGCTATACTGAGATGACAGAGAATCCACATAGCTATTTTCCAGGCTCTCTCCACTTCTCATGTCCATGCAGTCTGCCACAGCCTTAAAAGAAAGGCATGCTAGGTCTTCACTGATTTGATCATAAACTTGTTCCGCTTCCTCTGAATTTGGAATTCCACAGAGCCTAGCATTCTCTGTGTTTCCCACATTTTCCATGCTGGGCAGTTAGTTAAATCAGCTGCTTCGGTGATCTCTGAGACTTGGAACTAACTTGGCAACCGTGACAGATAAACAGTGAGAGTAAGCAATGTTTGTGGTATACTTTCTGAATGCATTGTTACACGTGACAGATTACCAGCAATCATTTACAGACAGCTTTAAATCAACACTCTCCTGACTTGCTCCCCTTTAACCCTTGCACTGTTCAAAGTACCTACACACGCTTCTCAAAATAATTTAATGTTCTATTTTTACACCATGGTTTTTGTAAAAATGGGAGGACTAATAAAATGTAATTATTTTCACCTGGTTTTGTTGGGATTGCTCTCTTATCTATCAAAACACACACACACTTTTACCATTTGAAAGCAACAGCAGCAAATGTTCGCTGGGTTGTTTTCTGTTCTGGCTATAAGATGAATTCCCTTGTCATCCCATGTAGGGACCCAGTACCACGCCAGTCTCAGACAAGAAGAAGAAGAAGAAGAAGAAGAAGAAGAAGAAGAAGAAGAAGAAGAAGAAGAAGAAGAAGAAGAAGAAGAAGTTTTATTTATACCCAGCCACTCTGGGTGGTTTCCAGCACATAAAACATAATAAAACATCAAACATTAAAAACTACCCACTACAGGGCTCCCTTCAGATGTCTTCTAAAAGTTCCATAGTTTTTTATCTCCTTGACATCTGATGGGATGGTGTTCCACAAGTGTGCAAGAAAAACTGCATTAACTGAGTTTGTAAGTGTTGTAAATAAAAATATGCCCTTTTCCCTTATGAGGTATCCAAGAGCCCATATAGAGTCCTTGCATAGGTTCCCTATTGGTAGGAGAAAATAACAGAGGCCAACCAGAGAATATTGAGAAGCAAAGCTGCTAGTAAGCTTGATCTTTATTGATCTGTTGCAACAGGGTGCTCCCCTCACATGCAGGAAAGGGGGAGGACCCAGAAAAATGGCATGCAAGGCCTTATAAAGACTTTTGAAATTCCCATCCTGTAGATCAAGACCACCCCCCAGAAACATCATACATACATCACAGAAAAGGTGGTCTTAAAACAGAAATTGTAATATTGTTTTTCTCCTGTTTTTGTTTATCTCCTGTCGGGCAGGTTACTTGATTGGATTTCCTGGGTAGCCTGGCCAGTCTTTTGTAATGATAAATACTTAGTTCCTGGGCCAGGTCACAGGCTCACACCCTTATTCAAACACAGACATACCCTTAAGACAGGATTTGTGAAGGAAAAGACAAGGGGGGGGGGGGCTTTTCCAGTTTGACCTTGCAGAGAAAACATTTGCTCAGTTTAGGAATCAAAATGGTTTCAGGTTGGCCTTCCTGTGCTGACCTATGTATGTGCTTGGTTGGTACACTTATGAACATTACCATATATCTAAGACCATAAAATTCCTATCACATAAGACAAACACGAGGACTCTTACAAACATTCCTAAACAATTAGGACTGGGGTACATTCATATGATAGGGGTGGGGGGAAACGGAATCACGATTGAGATGTTTTGATAACACGCAGCTTTCTCTGTAACACCTGAGTTGGGAGAGACTGTGCAGCTTTTTGGTGCCTGGATAGTGGTGGACTCGGTGATGGTGAATAAGCTAAACCTGAATCTTGAAAAGACAGAGCCTTGGTGGGTTACTCCCTTTTCCAAGAACTGGGGACTGTTCTCTGTGGTATTGCACTCCCCCTTGTAGACTGTGGGTAGAGTTTGAGAAAACTATGCTGGTGCAAGTCCAGGTGGAAACCCCAGCTGAGTGCCTTTCACCAGCTTTGGCTGGCTCCCCGTATGGATGTCCCTGAACAGGCAGAGTCTGGCTACTATTGGTGATTTCATGCCTGAATCAGCACAATTCCCTCTGCAAGGCTGCCCTAAGGTCTGGCTCAGAAGCTGCAGTTGGCGCAGAACACTTTGGGGGACATCTCACAAACAAAGCTCTGAACTGACTGCCAACTGACTTCAGTAGCACTATTGAAGCACATTTATAGTTCACATTTTGACATAAAAAACTCTAGGCAGCTCAGGACTGGAACCTGAAAGACAGCCTGCTTCCTCATCACCTGCCAGGACTTTGAGGTCATCAGGGAACGATGCGTGTCTCGCATTGCCACAGTTCTCTGAAATACAGTATGTGGCAACTCATAAGAGGGCACCTCCAACTCCTGAATGTTCTCTCTTCTCAGATATGAGCAGTACCAACACTATTTACAAGAAATACTGTTTTGTTTTATTTGTGATGTTCCTCACTCTGGTACAGTGTGAATAACAATGAAGAGCAAGATATATATAATTTAAATAAATACATGCACCAACCCACACCAAATGACAAACCCTGTTCAATAATTTGCAGTTTGCTCTATTCCTCCACTGCAAAATATATTTTGAAACTATTCCCTTCCCTACTTGCTCACAAAAAGCTTCCTTTGAGAAGAGTCTGTTATTTTAGTTTTGTCCTAGTGGAGGAATTCCAGTATGCAAAGGATGCGAGAACGTTTGTAGATGTACATGACATCCTAGCTGGATTAGTTGCCTATACCTTGTGGAGAAGGGAATATATATATATGTATATATATATATATATATATATATGATGGGTAATTTGTTAGTCTTCAAACTATCAATCATCTCAACTTGACAAAACTAAACTTTCACTATATATCTATATCTCAATATACAAATCCATAACTGAAGTTGGAATAAGCTATGAAACTTCCAGTTAGCTTATTCTTATTTAGTTAAAACTAAAAAGATTTAAAATAGTTTATTAAGATTCTTGAGGGGGTTTTATAATTAGTTACCGTTTTTGTGCATAAATGCAATTCGAGTACCAATTGTCAAGGCAGTGACTTATCTTATTATACTTAAATGCTTCATTTATCCCAGTCACATCTAAATTAACCACATAAAAAGAGGAAGCTGTACAACACTACATATAATACCTCCCCATGTAAAAATAAAAATAATAATTCCTTGACAGAGCACCTATGGGAGTATAACTTTTCATATCCTTACTGCAAAGATTTAAATGCAGATTTCCCTGCAGTTGCTTAGAACAGCTCCTATTACTGAGAGATGATTCAAAGAGTTTTATAACATGCTTACTTTAAAAATATCACATTCATAAGAGCTTAAGTAGCAAGTATCATTGCTACAGGAAGTGCCTTTCAGAATAGATTGTTTAATTAACAGCCCACTGTTAATCCTTGCATTTGGTCATATGTACTTAGAGGGGTAAAAGGTAAAGGGACCCCTGACCATTAGGTCCAGTTGTGGCCGACTCTTGGGGTTGCGGCGCTCATCTCGCTTTATTGGCCGAGGGAGCCGGCATGCAGCTTCCGGGTCATGTGGCCAGCATTACTAAGCCGCTTCTGGCGAACCAGAGCAGCGCACAGAAACACTGTTTACCTTCCCGCTGGAGCGGTACCTATTTATCTACTTGCACTTTGACGTGCTTTCGAACTGCTAGGTTGGCAGGACCAAGCAATGGGAGCTCACCCCGTCACGGGGATTCGAACCGCCGACCTTCTGATCAGCAAGCCCTAGGCTCAGTGGTTTAACCCGCAGCGCCACCCGCGTCCCTAGTAATTAGAGGGATACATTTTCCTAAAGGTGGTTTGAAAATGGCAGGACCTATATTTAAGACCCTGGCCTCTAAGCACACACAAATGCCAACAAAATCTATGCCAGCATTAAACATTGGCTTGGGTTCTAAAATTCCTTCCATGAATGGAAACAGAGTTCACGTTTATAAAACTGAGCTCGCCTGCCTACCTGCTCCATGAAATTGTGCTCCCAGGGATTTAGGGAGGGCTGCAGAAGGATGGCGGGGTTGACAAAATCCCTGCTTTACATGAATGGAGAAACAATCGAGCCACTGCAATTAAAGTGTACCAGTAAAACATAAGACAAAAGGCAAATATATAGATCAACAAGGGTGAGAGCTTCTGCTTCTGCAGCATAAACCAAAATGTAGCACACTCTAGAATGCATTTAAATATACACACATATATACCGGTACATACAAAGCTTTACACAAAATATAGTGAAATTCAAACTGATAAGGATATGATTTGGCACTCACTTTTCCTTGTTTTAGCATGCACTGAAGATAGAGGAAACTATCAGAAGACACTTCCTTGGAAATAACTTTGTTTAAGAATGTGATCATTCAAGCTTTACAGGAAGGAAATTAGTTATAAACACCTATTCGTGTACTCTAACGCAGAGACCATGTAGGAGAGAGTAGATCTAGAAATTTTAACTACCGGTATATGCTGAGTCTGCTGCTAGTTCCTCTGATGTATATACACTAGGAAGAGGATTGTGACAAAGTAATTTTGAATCAGTAAATGGAAAATTTGCTGCTTATATTAGATTATATATTAGATTAGATTAAACCATCGCATTTCTTCAATAACTTAACATAAAGTTTGCCTTTATTTTCATTTAGATCTTATTAAAGCATATGCAATTGCTACATAGCTCAACCCTTAGCGTTCTGTACATAGCAATTTAAACCAATCTGTGCATGCATGATATAGAACGTGTGCATTCCACTTTTTACAACTTGCAGAACAGCAAGTTATAAAATTAATTATTTGATTAAGTTAGAAGACTGAAAGCTTAAAGTGCATTTAAGATTATTTCCATCTCAGATTTCCAGTGACTTAGCCTTCCATGTTTCTCTATAAAAGCTTTTAACCCTTCCCACAAATGTTTTGCTGTCTACCCCAGCTGAACAGGAGATTTCACATGGTATTGCTCTTGTTCATACACATATACAATTTCTAAGAAGGCTTCTTATGAACAATGCCTTTATTTTAAGAAAGCATTAAGTCTGAAGCAATGGCTCAATTATTTCAGCATTTTGTACCCACAGACCTGGCATGTGACTGTGAATTAAATGTTTTATGAACACTAGAAGAAAGACAAAGACAAGTATGCTGCCAAGAAAAACTCCAATAAAACAGGCATATGATTCTTGCTGATAGTTTATATGTTGTGGCTCTTTTGGGACGGCACTAACAAGCAGATCCTTCAGATTGTCAAGCGACCC